ATAAAGTGTGTAAAATAATTAAACCTCTTTATGGTCTAAAACAAACTCCTAAATAGTGGCATGAGAAATTTGATCAAATATTGATAAAAGACGGATTTTGGTCTGTAGAAATGGATAAATGTATATATACTAAAGTTGTGAATGATCAATATGTGATAATTAGTCTATATGTAGATGACATGCTTATATTTGGTACAAGTATAGAGATTCTTAATAGTACTAAATATTTCTTATCTTCTAATTTTGATATGAAAGATTTGGGTGAAATTAAAATGATATTGGGTGTTAAAATCATAAGGAGAAATAATGGTATAATGTTGTCACAAGAATATTATACAGAAAGACTTCTTAGAAAGTTTGAAAATTATCATGTGATACCTGTAAGTACTTCTTATGATGCTAACACTAAATTAAAGAAAAATAATGGCGACCCAATTGCTCAATCCAAATATGCTCAGATTATTGGGAGTCTGATGCATTTGATGAATTTTACAAGATCTGACATAGCTTATGCTGTGTGTAGACTGAGTAGATATACTTACAATTCCAATAGTGAGCATTGATTTTCATTAGTCAGACTAATAAAATATTTGAGAGGTACCATGAATTATGGTATCGTATATTGTGAATTTTTCACTATATTAGAAGGGTACAGTGATGCTAATTGGATCTCGAATTCAAATGAGACAAAATTCACTAGTGATTATGTATTCACCCTTGGTGGTGGTGTAGTAGCATGGAAATCAGTTAGATAGAAAATCATTGCTAGGTCAACTATGGAATCAGAGTTTATAGCTCTGGAGTTGACTGATTCTGAGGCTGATTGGTTAAGAAACTTCTTAGCCAATATTCCTCCGACTAAGGATCTATTGCCTCCTGTATCCATACATTGTGATTGAAAATCGGCAATTGCTATTGCTAAAAATAAATCATATAATTGTAAAAGTCGACACATGAAATTAAGACATGATGTCATAAAGCAGCTGCATAGAGATGGAATTATTTCCATTGATTTTGTGAAGTCAGATTTGAATTTGGCCGATCCTCTGACTAAACCTATAGGAAGGAAATTAATTCTTCAAACTACAAGGGAAATGAGACTGAGGCCAACAAGTTGTCAATAGAGATAGTAACCCAACCTATGTGATTGGTGATCCCATGAAATAGGTTCATATGGGTAATATCAAATCAATATTGACGGTAAAGCACTTTCAATTTTAAGTCCCTTTGGAGATAAGTGCTTTGATTACTAGTAATTGTGAGGGTGAGTTAAAACTCTTAATGAATTCATATTCCTTTAGGGAGGTGTATTTAAAGCAGTATACACTTGATGAATTCACCTATATGAGAGTGGAGTGGGGCCGCTTCTATAAGATTCATTGGTCGAATCTTTGGAGTTCTCATGAATAACCGGGCAAGCGCACTGCCTAAAAGAGTAAAATCGCGTTAACAGCAAATCGTGGGTTGCAATGTGATTGATAAAATCTCTATCATACATCAAGAGTTATTGGTTCATAGAAATCCATATTTCACTAATAATTCTGTAGGTCATATTTTATCAATCTAAGTTTGTTTCATAGTCCAAAAGACACCAAACTAATTACATTTTACACAAATAAATACAGTAGATTATTTTCTTATCTTCTGTCCAAAATCTTTTGAAATAGGAAGGAAATTGTTGTAAAAAAATAAGAGTATTTCAAAAGTTTTGTTCCACATCAGAAAGTTAAAGAGGTTCTTCATCATTTATAATACTTACTCATTTATTGGGCTTGTGTTAAATTGGTAACTAGTGTGGACTCGTGCGCATGTGAGGGGGCTTGAGTTGGGCAATTTTAGTACAAACTGATGGATTTGCGCCCCGCTGCGCGTGGGTTAAACATGGCCCAAGTTGGTTTTGCGATGAGTAAAAATAAATTTTACTTTTTACTTTTACATCTTACAGATCAAATTTTGACTGTTTCTACCGAAAGTTAGGGCACGTAATCTGATAACAATTTCTGATACAAGAAATTAGCCCACGTTTTTGTTATGTTATCAGATGTTATCCTCTTCAACGTATACTTTCTGATGCCTATAAATAGTAGCTATTCACCCTTTGAAAAATCACACCATTTTCTCCCCCTGACAGTGGATGCCTTTCTGTCAGTTTTTTTCTTCTACTTCTACTCCTTTTTCTTCTTCTTCTGCTGGATTTACGTTACATTTGCTAGTTATGATCCTTTTGTTTATGATAGGAAGAACACTTGTTTAATTTTGGAAAAACATTTTAACCTCATGAAATAGTTTCTTAGACCAGTGCTATAATGCACGACTCAAGCTACATTATATTAATTTCAATTAACACTGCTTTTTTTTTTTTGGCTGTTTTCTCCTAAAATCTAAGAAACTATGGCATCCGATAATGTTAACACTTCACAACCTATATCTGCATTAGTTGCTGTTGCACTACTGTTGGCTAAACCTTTTTCAGACGTCTCCAAAATTAAAGTTTTTGCCAATGAAAACTTAAAAAAATGGCAAGAACGTGTGCACTCACCACTCGATATTCATGGAGTGACCTATGCACTGACAGATGCACAACCAATTGCTACTATGGATGTCAAGACGCAAGACGCAAGAATCCTGACAATATGCCAATGAGATATGTCGACATACTATTTTACAAACACTTTTAAATGAACTGTTTGATGTGTACTGTACCTGTAAGGAATCAAAAAAAAATTTGGGAAGCCTTGATAACAAAATTTATCGCCGAAGACGCCACCAAACAAAAATTCGTTGTGGAAAAGTACAACCAATGGCAAATGACAGAAGACAAAGAAATGAAGATACAAATCACAGAGTACCAAATGCTGCTCGAGGATCTCAAAAATGAAGACATAAATTTGCCTGAAAAATTTGCTGCTGACATGCTAATTGAAAAGTTGCCCGAATCATGGACGGACTACAAAAATAACTTGAAGCACAAGCAAAAAAATTACATCATTGATGAGCTCGTGAAACATAGTTTGATTGAAGACTCCAACAGGAAGGAGTTAAGGAATGTCAAAGCTAAGGAGATGGCTTTCAAAACTAACCTAGTTCAAAACAACAGTAAAAGGTACGTCAATAAATTCCAAAATTACAAGCCCAAAAATCCCAACTTTAAAAAAAAGAAAGGCATTTGCTATGTTTGTGGAAAACTAGGATACCATGCTGCCGAATGCAGGCACAAAAAGAAAGGTGACAAAGCAAATAGCAATCCTCTTAAGGTTAATTTAGCCGAAGGAGATAACATAATTGCTGTAGTCATCTCTCAAGTCAATATTGCAGCAAGTGTGAAAGAGTGAGTAGTAGATTCTGGGGCTATTCAATACATATGTGCAAATCGAGAAGCATTTTCTCCCTATACTCCAATAGAAAATGATGAAGAGGTGATCTACCTTGGAGACTCACGAACTGTTAAAGTTCTGGGTAAGGGCAAAGTTCTCCTGAAACTTACATCTGAAAAATCTTTGACCCTCAATGATGTGCTGATTGTCAAGCGACAATTGCTATTGCTAAAAATAAATCATATAATTGTAAAAGTCGACAGATGAAATTAAAAAATGATATCGTGTAGTAGCTGCTTGTAGATGGAATTATTTCTATTAATTTTGTGAAGTCAGAGCTGAATTTGGCCGATCCTCTGACTAAACATGTAGGAAGGAAATTAATTCTTCAAACTACAAGGGAAATGGGACTGAGACCAACAAGTTGTCAATAGAGATAGTAACCCAATCTATGTGATTGGTGATCCCATGAAATAAGTTCATATGGGTAATAACAAGTCAATATTAATGGTAAAGCATTTTCAATTTTAAGTCCCTTTGGAGATAAATGCTTTGATTGCTAGTAATTGTGAGGGTGAGTTAAAACTCTTAATGAATTCATAAAGGGAGGTGTATTTAAAGCAGTATACATTTGATAAATTCACCTATATGAAAGTGGAGTGGAGCCGCTTTTATAAGATTCATTGGTCGAATCTTTGGAGCTCTCATGAATAACCGAGCAAGCGTAAGGCCTAAAAGAGTAAAATCACGTTAACAGCAAATCATGGGTTGCAATGTGAATGATAAAATCTCTATCATACATCAAGAGTTATTGGTTTATAGAAATCCATATTTCACTAATAATTCTGTAGGTCATGTTTTATCAATCTAAGTTTGGTTCATAGTCCAAAAGACACCAAATTAATTACATTTCACCCAAATAAATCCAGCAGACTATTTTCTTATTTTCTGTCCAAAATCTTTTAAATAGGAAGGAGATTGTTGTAAAAAAATAGGAGTATTTCAAAAGTTTTATCCCACATTGGAAAGCTAAAGAGGTTCTTCATCATTTATAATACTTACTCATTTATTGGGGTTGTGTTAAGTTGGCAACCAGTGTGGGCTCACACGCATGTGAAGGGGCTTGAGCTGGGCCATTTCAGTACAAACTGATGGATTTGCACCCCCCTGCATGTGGGTTAAACACGGCCCAAGTCGGTTTTGTTACAAGTAAAAATAAATTTTACTTTTTTACTTTTACATCTTACAGATCAAAGTTTGACTCTTTCTACTGAAAGTCAGGGCATGTAATCTAATAACAGTTTATGTAACAAGAAATTAGCCCACGTTTTTGTTATGTTATCAGATGTTATCCTCTCCAATGTATACTTTTTGATGCCTATAAATAATAGCTATTCCCCCTTTGAAAAATCACATCATTTTCTTCCCCTGACAGTGGATACCTTCCTGTCAGCTTTCTTCTTCTATTTCTACTCCTTCTTCTTCTCCCTCTGCTGGATTTACGTTACATTTGCTAATTCTGATCCTTCTTATTTATGATAGGAAGAGGGCTTATTTAATCCTGGAGAAACATTTCAACCTCCTGAAATAGTTTATTAGCACAGTGCTATAAAACACGACTCAAGTTACATTATATTAATTTCAATTCACATTGTTTTTTTTGGCTGTTTTCTCCTACACTTTCAGTCAAGTTGTCCCAGTATTCTGCACAACTTTAACTATGAGTTCCATAACTTTGGCACCATATAGAGCCATAGATTGAAGGATTCTTCTATTCTTTTCGTGCCATATATGCCACATAGAAGAAGCAAGAGCCAATCTTCTTACTTTGTCTGAAAATGTTCCAGCACCAGCATGTTGACACCACCGCAATACTTCTTGTTCCCAGGGTAACACTCCTCTATACAAGAGGCACAATCTCTGAATTTTTTCCCAAATAGATCTAGAAAACTCACATTGGAAAAATAAGTGCTTTGTCGACTCATTCCCCTGATCGCATAACACATGCCTAGGAGATATATTCACCATTCCTCATTTAAGTAATCTATCCTTAGTCATTTTCAGTGACGGAGCCAGGATTTTTTTTTTTTTGGGGCCAAAATTGAAATTCCATTCAAAGATGACTAATTCATATATATATATATATATATATATATATATCAACTCTCATAATATAAACTAAAATTGAAAAAATTTAGGGGGGGCCAATTTTATTTTACACACATATTTACATATTATGAATTAAAATTCTCAAAACTTAGGGGGGGCCATGGCCCCCCTCTGTCCCCCCTTGGCTCCGTCATTGGTCATTTTCTTCTGCATTATCAATCACAAGATGAAAGCATATTTAGAGACATAACCTTTACCACAAACCAAAGGAAACCCTGCCACAGTTTCTCCTGAACCAAATAACTCTTTAATATATGATTTAACAGAAAATTCGCCAACCCCTGCTACATTCCATTGTGCACAGTCAACTCTATGCAACTGTTGCAACAAGCTATCAAGAGTAACAAACTGGAACTCCTTAAACATGGCAGTATATCTTCTGCCACTAGGCCAGCACCATCCATCATTACTAATAAAATCCCCCACTTTCGAAGTTACAGTCAATCTGAAAGCTTTAAGCAAAGATTCTGGATAATTCAAATATAAAGGACCAAGAGGATGCCAATTATCCAACCAGGAAAAAGTACTATGACCATTTCCAATCAAAGGTTTGATTAATGGTTGAACAAGTGGTCTTAATTGAAGTAATTTCCTCCATATCCAGGAACTATCAACTGGTATATTTACTTCCCAAATACTATGGCCTTTTAACATCATAGAATGCACCCATCTTGCTCACAAAGAATCTTTTTTCTTGCAGATATTTCATATAAGTTTCGGCAGCAAGAACTTATTCCACTGAGAAAAGATTATAGACTCCAAACATTTTAAAAAGAAAAAAGAACGTCAAATGTGGAGTCATGGTATAATTTTTTTTATTACTACATTCATCCGGGGGATCTCAGATGATAATCAAATCCAGCTAGCATATTGCTTGACTACTAAATTGTGACAAACAAATGCCTAGCATTTTGAAGGAAAAACATATACATCTTAATCATGCATGAAAGAAAATTTTCTAGGCAATGCTTTTGGTAACTAAGATGTTACAATTATTTTTTAAAAAAAGAAGTAACTAATAAAAAAACTAACATGTCGTGATTAGGGCACGAATCAAGTGCACTAGGAGCCTTCTTCCCTTCCCCCCCTTCTCCCACCTCTAGGGTAGAGTAATTTAAAGGGTCGTAGCGCTTTCTATTCTTTTGTCAATCTTATACAGTTATAGTTTACGATGACGCTTAGTTTATACTGTATTTAGTTTGTGTTAGCAAAGTAAACTAAGATTTGGGCTCTATAGTTTGACTTGTGATTGCCTTCAAAGTAAAAAGAAAAAAAATAAATCTCAACAAACTGATGACATAATTGATACTGAACTTCTTAAGAGTTAGATATGTTGGGTTCATGAGTAAAGGATTATGTCCCATATTGGTCCAAGAGATAGAAAACGAGCGGTTAATATATAAGTAAGGGCCCAAGACCAAATGGTTTAAGCTTTTGGATCAGAGTTCGGTTCATGACTTATATATTGTACTCTTTGGTGGACTCTTTCGAGATGTTTCCCCCTATCAAATTAGTATCAGAGCTTCAGGTTGGGAGACTGGATTACTCATGGGCAAGTGAATTCTTCTCGGAGTTGGACCAATGAAAATTCTCTTCTTGATGGTGGACCAAAGTACCACAACTGCTAAGGAGTTTGGGTAGTGTTGCATCAAGTGTGCCATGGATTTGGCAGGGGGTCTGGTTGGTGTTAGACCAAGGAGCCAAAGGTTGGTGATAAGATGGACTTGCATTGAGTATGAAAGTAGGCTTGAAGAAGGGTTTGTAAATTTGGGTTTAGGAGTTACTCATAAAGGGGAAAGTTTGTTAGACTCATGAGTAAAGAATTATATCCCACATTGGTCCGAGAGATAGAAAACGAGCGGTTAATATGTAAATAAGGGCCCGAAACCTAATGGTTTAAGTTTTTGAGTCAAAGTTAGATTTCTGACTTATATATTGGGCTATATGATGGACTCTCTCGAGGTGTTCCACCCTATCAAGATGCTTTCCATTTTTGAATTAGAAGTTTTTGCTATAGTAAAGTTCCAATAATTTTGTTCAAGATATGGAACAATGATAGTTTCTCGTCTTAGTTATTTTTTGTTAACCAAGCACTATGGGTTATATATAAGATGTTATGTTGTTGTATTTAGTTGAGAAGAGTGATAGAATTAACTATAGAGTCTTTGTATCTTGGTAGGGCTGTAAATCGAACCGAGAAACTTGGTACTTGACTTGAATTCGGTTTGAACCAGACTCATTTAAACTTGTTTGTTCAAGTATCAATCTAAACCCGAACATAATTTCAATCTCGAAAATATTAACAAACCAATCACGATATTCACGTTGTCTGGCTCGATATGTTCAGAAACATATAAGATAAGTAAATTTATAAAAATATATCTAAAATTTCCTTCCTTAACTCTACTCCTTTCCTTCCTATATATTGCTTATTTTATAAAATAGCAAACATATAATATTCTTATCTTTTGAATAGGTATAATTGATTTTAATTACATCCATAATTTATCGTAATGGATTTCTTAAATATGCGTAATTGACTTTAATTACATCCCTAATTCATCATAATAGATTTCTTGAATATTAGAGAGTAAAAAGTAAGGGAAAAAAGTAACAAATTAGGGTGAAAATCTCTATATAATACAACATGAAATTTCAAACCAAACCAAGCCAAGTTTTGATTCTATGTGCTTGAACTTGATACTAAGACAAGCCAAGCTAAACTTTTCATGAACATACATCAAAAATTTCAAGCCGAACTCGATCAATTTCTTCTAAAAAATTATCAAACACAAGTCAATTTCAAACATTCCTTTGAATTTTGAAACCAATTCTGAACATACTTCTGTCCAATTGGTTGAGGTTTGTTTTCAATCATATATCTTGGTTGTTAAAAAGGGTCGATTCCAATATGAGAGTCGCATGTACTTTATAATTGTTTAATTAATAAACTACTCTGTTTTCAAATATTTTTATACGTTTTAGATATCCTGCTGTGTTGTTTTATATATTTATAAGTGGTATCAAAGACCTAAATTGTTTTAAATATTTACAAGCGTTATTAAAAGCCTAAATTTTGATCTTAGGGTGTTTGTCAAAATTAGAGTAACAAAGTGGACACTGATAGGATTTTGAAGAGTGACTTTTTGAAGAGTTAAGAGTCCTCAAACGTCAAATAAAATTGGGCTACTAAGTTGATCTTGGGTACTCAATTGTTTGGCAAATATAGAGGAAAAATTAGTCAAAATTGTGATAGAGATCTAAAAAGAAGGACCTTATCGTATTATTGTATTGGTGATTGGAGAGTGATCAATAAAAATGGAATCAGTCAGAAGATTTATACAAAAAAAATTCCTGTCAAGTTTCATTGTGATTCATAATTGACAATTTTGATATACATTGCCATCAAGAAAGGCTAATAAGTTGAACATGAAGTGAACGGCGACAATCGGTTTATTAAATTTCATGGATTGATATGATAAATAGATATTTTAAGATAGTAAATTTTTTTAAAAAAATTTCAAATGGGTAACAGTTGAGCCAAAGTTTGGTTTAATAGAAGCGTTATTGACATGATTACAACCAAACCTAATAAGGGTTAGATCATCCGTAGTTTTGAATTAACCGTTTTTCCTATAGTCAAAATTTACTAATCTGTTTATTTATGGTATAAAATGATTACTTGATACTTTCTTGTCTTAGTTTTTGCGGTATTGTATTTAGTTGAGCAAAGTTAAGAGAAAAAAAAAATGGACAGTCTTGGTCATTATAAAGGCAATTTTACCTAGTTTTGAATAAAGGCAAGTTTTAATAGCTCCTCTTCTCCCACATATTTTTATACCCTATTGTTTTACATGCTTACAAGAACAAGCAAGAGTTGCATCTGATCAACACACCACTTAGTCACAATACACTCCAGTTTTGACATTTTCTAAACCTAACGAAGTTTCAGGGATTGAAGACTACTAAACCAAATTCTATTGCCATATATATAACAAGTAGTAATAGATTTTGTGGCGGAAAAGGCAAGAAAAGGAAAAGGAAATCAAACAAGGAAAATATAGCCAACAACAAGAATAGGAAGAGATATTTCAGTCAGATAACAAAAATATTTTTCACTTTTAGCAGAAGTAGAAGATTCTTTTTAAAGAAGATGAACACCTTAGAGACATGAACAAGAATTGAAGATGTCAAATAGGTCCAATGCATCATCTGTACAAACCTAGGTTCTTACTCCATGTTTTGTTATCATTGTGTTAAAAATTTGTTTAGATTTTGATGCTACGTGAAGATAGAAGCGTTTCTGATATAAGTTAACAATAATCACAAAATTCTGCGAATATTAGTTCACTCCAAAATAATTTGCTAGATGATGTAAATAATCACATTTTATAGATGACTCTAGATTAACATGAAATTATAACCGAGGTAGGAGACAACCTTATTAATAATTGATTTTACCGTAATTTATACTAAATAGGTGAAAATAGATTTTTTTTTTTAAAACTTTTTTGGGATAAATAGGACGTCTTGGATTATCCAAGACCTCTTACTTTCAATTCTTCCCACATTACCACCCAACCCAACCAAACCCAATAGATGAATATAGTTTAACTTACCTTTGGCCTAATTGAAAGAAGGTTAGATATACTTCACCTATTATTTCAAAATACGGAAAATCTCGTTTCAGAACAAAACATTCAATTCAAACTATCCAATGTATTCAAACGGATAATACAGGCTCCATCATCCCAACTTAACTTGAAGACGGTGGAATGCCCCGTTCAATAAGTGCATTATTTTGTGCATTGTCTTTTGTGGGATTCTTGTCCTTATAGAGCCGGTGAAAGTCTAAAAGTTAGGAAAATTAAATTTGTCAAAGGTATTTGGTTCTCTAAATCAAATTGACAAACCCATCTTTGAGTATGAGGTTTGCAAGTTTTTTAGCAACCATGTTACATTCTCGTCGATACCACTGATATAACAATTGTCAATGGTACTCATCTGGTGCGAACATCTCAAAGTTCCATTTTAGGAGCCTATACATCGTATTTTCGCCCTCAAGCCCCTTCTTTTTTTTTTTTTCTAACAATCCGGCCGCATAATGGTCACTCTCGTATACAACAAAGTAGACTTTCATTTAAAAAGGGTTGAAAGTATTAAACCGTCCTAAACTTTATTCATAGTTGCACTTTATTTCTCTCAACCCAATAAATAGGTACTTTGCCCCTTCTGCTTTATGTTTTAGGACAAAAGTGTCCGTTCCATATTAATTATTACTTTATTTCTTTTTCCTCCATTTTTGCCATTTTTCTACTTGTCCCTTTTCTTTATTTTTTAAAAATTTTCTCCCTTTTCTCATGTGATCAACTACTTTCTTCTCTTTGCTATTATTATCTATATATTAATTTTAATCTTCTTAAATTTATTCTTTATTTATTTCTATCTTGTTTACCATTTGCTATTGAAAGTAATAATGACTAAAGTCTATGCTATAACAAAGTATATGTTATCTAAGCGTATAGATTATTTCATATATTACTTAAATCAATACATCTAGAGTATGGAATAAATTAATTTTTAATAATAACAGTAACAAATTCAAATCATAATAATATAGCTAGTAATCAACTATATATAAAAAAGTAAATAAAAGTATTTGTTACTTTATTTTTAGATATACCTTTAAATATTAACTAATTTAAAGTTCCAGTTGGCTAAAATCTTTTTAAATAGTCAAATTGCCAGTAATATACACTTTTTTTTATTATGGTAGGCACATATTAGTTTTTCATGCTATATAGTTTGTTTTGAATTTTCTAATAATGTAAATAAATAAAACAAGAATGAAATTATAAGTGAAAGTTAATTATAATATTATAATAAGTATACAAATTAGTAATACTAATAGGAAAGTGAAACAAAATAGTAACATGAGAAAAGTAAAAAAAAAAAAAAAAAAAAAAAAAAGTAAAAGCAAGTAGTAGTAAAAGCAAGTAGTAAAAAGAAAAAGAGGGAACAAATAAACCAAAAAGAAATAAAATAAAATAATAAGGACACTTTTATCTTAAAATATCAAATAGGAGGCAAAATACTTATTTAATAAATTCAGAAGGACAAAGCGCAATTAAACATAAAGTTCAGAAGGGTTCCTTTTAAAAATCTTATCCACAGTGGATTCGAGACCCTCATGACACACCGAATGTTACATGTTCATCTTGTTACGATCCACATGACACTCAACTCATAATAATTGCATTCATCGTCAAACAATACATACTGATGTAATTATCATCTTGCTGTTTTAACAAAATAAATAAATAAATCTACTAAACTGATTCAAGAAAGCCAGTCATAGTAATTATACAGGTTTGGTTTTGGGTGTTTTTGTGTAACTTGATAGCTAGCTACTATTCGCTATAAGTTTCTGCCTGTTTTTAGTTACTTCCATCATTTTTTTTTTTCAAAACATTTATGGTAAAACCATATATTGTTCTAGTGTTAAGTGCGTTCAATGTCAAATATGGTTTGTCTTCAAATGTGAATTCTTTGGGGATGGAATGAAAAGAATAACTATCAAGAGACCAATGAACGTGAGTATGTACATTTAGATGGAAAGTGACAGTAATAAAAGACAAATAAAAAGTTAGTAAATAGAAGGAGTGCAAATTTTACATATAATTTTGAATATCTTTCTATAGTTGGCTTTAAGAATTTTACAAAGCAAAGCGAAGCTAAAGGTGGCTCCAAACGTGGAATATAAGGATTTGTTTGAGTTACTTTTGGGATGCTAGGTTTTACACAAGGAAGTGGAATTAGATTAGTCATATTGTGTTCACTGACAATACAGTGTTACATGTAAAACATCATGGAAGGTTCATAAACATTACGAAAACTACAACTAAATACTGCATGAGATAGAACCAAAACGATAAATCTTCCTACTAATGCAATAAGTAAAGCTCACTTTGACATCTAAACGAATTCGATGTTTACAAAGTCAGACTGAATCAGCTGAATTTGGCCAATTGAACCAAAACCGGCCATGACATCGGCTCGATTATATGTGAAAACAAGAAAAAGTGAAAAATGATCAAATTCGATTAAACCTTGGTCAAATTGATCGAAACCAATATAACTTGAGTGATTGAACCAGCTGACCTGTAAGAATTTTTTTTTTCTTTTTACAATCTATTAGTATTATTCACATTTATTTTTTCACATGAATAAAAAATTTGAACTGTTGACTCAGTCAGTGAAATCAATTAAATAAAAAAGTGGGAACTCATCTATTACTCATTAAGTTGGGCTCAAAAATATTTACACAAATCAAATCATCCTCTAGTTTTCCAAAAGACAAATGCATGTGAAAGTTCTTACTTGATGCTCCCTAACCTGACCCAAGCGACATCCAACCAACTCGTGTTTCCTTTAAGAAAATCTTACTATCACAACTTACATTACACAACCAATAACTAGAACACATTGTAGATAGATCGTCTATAACATAAAAAAATCACTTTCCTTTTTGACAATTACAGAGATTTAAATTGCTTCAACTCCATCCAATAGTTTGAAAAGAATAACCATTAATAACAAATGACATAGACCCTTTCAATAGTTTGAAAAGAACAGCCATCAAGAACAAATTACACAGATGCATACCAGAGATAAGAAAAACGTCACATTTTTGGATACGAACTACAAAAAAAAAAAAAAAAATTACATAAGAAATTAAAGATACAAACTTTGCACTCTTACATTATACAACACCAACGTATACGATATAATAAAACTTCAGATTATGTGGCATAAACTAAAAGAAATATCAATATAAGAAATGAGAGAGACAAATCTTGCAATTTACATATTGTTAGTCAAGTCTCTTAAGTTTATTCTAACAATTCTTTATTTCAATATTTGTTACTTTTTATTTGTAATGTCATAAAGTTGCAAGTATGCATAAATTTTAGTGGGTTTCTTGTATTGATATCAAAAAAATAACATCACCCAGGTCTATTTAATCCATACTCATATGCATTCATACCTAAATCATGTTTATTTTCTTAGGTACACTCATGAATGTTAACCCTAATTTTCAATGTTTTGAAAAACAAATCAAACCAACTGGTTCAACTAGTCAAACCACAAACTGGCCATGCCACTTGTTGATTTAATGATTAACCCAAAATTGCAATTAAACTGATCGAACTCTATCAAAAACCGATTGGACCAATAAAAATCGAACAAAATTGAAAGATTCGACCAAAGTTCACTCTTTTTTTAATATATTTTAACAAAAATATTTCACTTTCATTTATAATTCTTAATACCAAAACATACAAAAAAAAAAAAGATTAAATCATTGAGCCGAGATGAAACCGATTAAACAGCAAACCGAAGTCTCTTTCACTTCAATCCTCAATCCAGGTTTAAAAACATTGCAGACTTTATAGAGCTTTAGAGCACTCCATTTTGTCTCTTTTTAATGTCAAAATAGTTATGTTTTCTTACCTACCTTTTTTTCGTTTTTTTTTTTTTTTGGGGGGGTGGGGGTTGTGGGGGTGTTGGTATGACCAACTCAAGCGTCGATGACAGAAAATCGTAGAATGTTGATTTAGTGAAATTTTGCGTCTAAGGAATATGTTTAATATTTATAGTCTTGATCATAAATTACATGATACAAGACAACATTTACAACTTATTGGGAAGACATGGAATATCAGAGAAAGCCAGAAAGGGGCAGCAAAAGGGACTTTTTAAAGCCATATTTACATTTGCTGTTTCAAATTCCAAAATTTCCAGTCACAGGCACCAGTCCAGACAACCATCGTAAGATTCAGAAAAACCAGTATCTAACATCTGAAGTATGCGCAGCATCACTATACAGCTGCTGAAGCATGTTATGAAACACCGGTTGCTCGATGAAGATCAAGGCCTCCAGCTTCAGACGATGATGACCGTTAACGTTCTAAATCTTTTTCCATCTCTAGGAATCTGATGCCAGAAGACATAAATAATCTCCTTTACAATTCGACGATTGGTTGCAACAGGCCACAGATTTGAACTTAACTCCACTGTTGCCTATGCTGACTGCAACGTCACCTGTCCAGTGGCTACTTGTTCGTACTCTGCACAAGCCTCAGGAGTGTCTTCTTCACTAGGTGGAACTAGCTGCCAAAAGAGTGGCAAATATTTGTCCCACTCCTTGAGAATGGAGGAGCCCTTGCTACTCCCAGTTTTCTCCTACGTAGAGTATTGGTTAGGTGCATTAGAAAGGCAAGAGGACGCTAGTTCTCCAGCAAGTGTAAGTTAAGATTCTGGAGACAAACTAGCAATCAAATTGAAGTCTCATATGGAAGTACTGACAGAAGCAGTGTCCATTAAAAACCTTTTTAAGGGTAACAAATGAAGGGAAGTGCACTATGTTCCTATTTTGAACACAAACATTGCAGGAAAACTGAAAATGTTATAGTGGATACTGGTAATAGTTTAAACTTTTACCAAAGGAAGGATAGCAATATGTATCAACGACTACATCTCTTAGCCAAAAGAAAGACCGTGAACCAAAGGAACAATTCCAAGCATTCTGAAACCATACAATTTATTTTTAGGAGTCCAGAACATTCTCTCTCTTCTTCTCGTGAACAAGTATTCATGCAAGAAATAACGTGATTGATTATGTCTAACTTACAACATGGGCCTGAATAAGACTCTTAAGCTGCATCTGGCCAACAGGAGCAAGCACTCTCTGGATCTTCACAATTTCTTTGTTCACCTGTTATAAATAACATTGAATAATTCACAAGCTAGGAATCATTAAACTTAGAAAAGATACAGCAGGTATGACATTCATTAAGAGGGAAAGCATTTTTGACGCCAGACATCAACTTTATGAGTCCATGTCATAATAACACCACAAATGTAGGAAGATCAACACATGCTATTGCATAGCAAGAGCTCATGAGTTGAAGAGAAAGTAAGATCAACAATAGCAGTTGACTATCTCGTATAGTTGAAGAGAAAGTAACAAGACTACTGATGCCTCAGTTAAGAAGGGAAATGGCATATATTTTGATATAGCTTTGTTTGTAAACCCTCTGGAAAGCTCGTATTTATGCACTTCGGAATATCATGAGTATCACTACCAAGAGATCGGCACCATGTTGGCTTGCATGTGACAGGCAAACATTAATGAAATCAATAAAAAAATTTGATATAGGGCCAAAGCTGTCTCAGACTCATCCTATATAAATCAACTTACAATTCCTAACTATCCTAATCAAAGATTATGTTTTCATCTGTAACTTAAGTCATCTTCTTTCTACGTCCAGATCAAAGAAGACTGCTTACATCTGTTAGCATATAAATCATTCTCTGTGGTTTCAATTGTCTTCTTACAAGCAGTTTTTACATTATCACATTCTGCTGTTAATTTGCAACCAAACAACTTCGCACATTGAATTCACAAAAATTCAAAATTATCATTATTAACAATTTAGATTTTCCAATTGTCTCAACATTCCTCAGAAGAAAGAGCATCAGGGGCAAGCTAAATCAAAATTCTCAGTTTCTATTCAAAGGTCAGCCCCTGGCTCCGTGAATATATTTTTTCCTCCATAAAAAACATTATTGAGCTCATGAAAAATGACTTATATTGGATCTCATTGTAAAACTTGTGTAGGAGAGTGTCAGAGCAGACCTTCCTGCAAATACAAATACATTCATGTTCATTGCCTTAGTGCACCTTATTCCATCTCCTAAGGATCTCAATAGATAAATAGAAGATTAAACATAAAATACAGATGTCTACTAATAATCGAGTGCTCTAACTGGACACGCATGTTCTTATGCATACAAGAAGTAGGCTGTAAATTGTCAAAACATCTAAAGGATCAAAGTTGGTCTCAATATTCTCTATTAAATTTAACCACAGCAGTGTCCCCACTCTGTATTTGCAATAACCACAAAGAATTTCTTTATGCAGTTTCTTAAGTACTTTCACTATAGTAGAAAGTTGAAAATGTGGATGCCATCTACAAATGTGGCAGATATGTCAGACAACTTCCTTGACTCTGGAATCAGATGACATAAAGGAAAGAACCAAAGATGGTGTTTCATGCTATATTTGTAAGAGGGAGACTTTGATTTGGGAAATTCACCTCCTATTAAACGTGCCCTGGATTAGCTTTCCCTTTTTCTTTTTCTATTTTTTCTTCCTAGAGGGTCCCAGGTTGTCAAGGAGACGAGGTAGTTGGTGATCCATTTAATTAGTGTAACATAAGAATTAACATATGCATGCAGAACGTAAACATACACCTCTATTGTTCACACATCTCATATCACAAACCTTGGGGATAAGAGTATCATCCTCATCTAGAATATAAGCTAGACCTCCAGTCATACCAGCCGCAACATTTCTACCAACCCTACCAAAAAAGCAAGATACAACGTTTTTATCTGAAGGAGGACAAAGTACGTAATTGCATTCTTCTTTTCAACAATGAACAGAACATGATAAGAGAAGATACTCACTTGCCAAGCACCACCACACAACCCCCAGTCATGTATTCACAACAATGATCGCCAGTACCTTCTACAACAGCTTGAGCAAGTGAGTTTCTCACAGCGAAACGCTCCCCAGCTTTTCCTCTTACAAAGACTTGACCTCCTGTGGCCCCATACAAACAGGTATTTCCTACAATTGTAGCATCCTCTGGGCAAAATCCAGTACTCTCAGCAGGAGTTACAACTAATTCACCACCAGCCATACCCTGAAAATGAAAGCTCATCTTAGATGGCTACATAAATTAAATGCATGATGATCGTATACCTACTGGGCAGTGGGAGCATGGGATGACAAGAAATATATATCATACCCTTTTTTTCCTTTCAGTTTAGTTGTAAGTTAGCTTTATGACATAATTACGATCCATAAAGTGGACAAAAGGTGTCGGACATTAAAAAGAATAGGCCATTCAAATGAAGTGACTACCAAATCACCCAAGCAAATATTTACTTGAAAATTCTAAACATGACCCAACAACTTTTAGAAATAATAATCAAGTTCCATGATTTGGGCTACAGAATTATCTAACATATAAGAATTTCATTGACAAACCTTTCCGACATAATCATTAGCTTCTCCAGCAAGTCTGATGTTCATTCCAGGTGTGAGAAAACATCCAAATGATTGGCCAGCACTCCCTGTAAACCTGTAGAAAAGAAACAAATATGCATCCATTATTTGCAAGAACAAGTTTATGCCCTGAGAAGAAGAAACATGAAATAAGAAAGGTAAATGCATCTTGCATGTAGAGGATCACTATAACATGAGAAAACACTAAAATTTCCTTCTAAACTCAATGTTCAAATCACTAAGCCATATTTACGTTATATTGAGCTGCCCAGCGAATCCAGTGTCACCATATTTCTTTGCAACTACTCCTGCAATACGGCCACAAACAGCACGGTCCACATTGTAAATTGTGACGGTTTTGTGGACCACCTTTTCATTCTGAATCGCATCTGATATCTGTATACAAAGGAAAAGAAGAAAAAGAGCATTTGAGAAACAAGAAATTCATCAAAACAGTATGAAAAAGCAGTTTGCAGAATTTAATTATACAGGAGGTAAACTAACAAGATTCCCTATATCCTTTCGTAAAACAAACTTTCAGTAATTGCAAGCCTGTAAAATCCAGTACATGACAATGACGTAATGAATGCTCGCTGTTGTATTCTTGTTGTTTACCAGTGCTTTACATAAAAGCATAAAATTATTCATGATACCAAATAGTGTTCACATTTTTATCGCTTACTTCCACATAAAAGTATCAAATACTTGCTTGTACAGGTGCCAGCAATCTCCAGCATGATTAGAAGACAGACAGGAACGAGAGGGAGAGACACAGAAAACAGAGGCCCGCTGGGGGTGGGAGGTGGGGGAGTGCAACTTTCCTTTATTGTTCTGTTATTACTTGTAAACCCTATCCTAACAAAAATGTGAATCATCCTGAAGCCCTCCAAGTTAGCCGGTAAAATCAACAATCAAAGATTCACGCTTGCCACCATTCAATTGATTCAAATTGGCTGTTCTGAACAACAAAATGGATATCATTCAAATTGACACCCCTTCAACCAAACCAATCACAGGCCAAAAAGGCAAATGTTTCTTTAAAAGATGTGACAAGCATTTTTCTCAATCTACCAGATGAATTTGAGGGTTCAGTCTTTAACAATCCAATAGTTAAATAACCAACTCAAAGTCTGTATATTAAAATTGACACGTAAAGTGAAACCCATATAAAGCCATTACTGCCAAAAGGCTCATTAGATTCTTTCAGTAAGAGTGTTCTTGAAGTATTATACTACCTCTGGATCTGATAGCAAATTATCATCCAGAACAGGACCATTACTGTGAACATCTTGATTCCTAATGGTAGTGCTGCTCCACTTTGGTAGTCCAACATTCTAAAAAGCAAAACAGAATATCATGGCCAAAGAAACAATCTGCAGGGTGCAAATGATCAACAAACGATTTCTAGGAGTCATACAGAAAGAATATAGCTTAGATCAAGATGTTGTGTCTTCACTAATGAAATATCTCGAGATCTTAGTAGATCCGTGCGCCCAATAACATCATCCAGTTTCTCATAACCCAGTTGTGCCAACATGCCTCTTACCTGTCAAAATATTTCCAAGAATGGCCAGCACATTAGAGAAAAGGGAGAAGCAGGTTTAACTGAAACATTTTCAGAGACTACAAGTGGAAGAGAGAGAGAGAGAGAGAGGACAAAATATATACAAGAAAATTAAATTGCTTGCTTTGTGATCCATTTTATCTGTTGTCTAAATTATAGGCTATACATTCAAATGCTGATCGACAGGAATCACTGAACCATTATGTTTTCACCAACAGTCTATACAACAGTGACGCATTTATTGGACCTACCCGCTAAGAGCCGCAATGTGTTTCCTCATCTCTCATCATACTCTGTCCAAATCATCATTCTTGTTGAAGCTAGAATCTAGACTAACTGAAAAATATAATTTTAATCAAGGTATTCCATTTCTCAAATTCCAGAGTTCTGGTATTGCACCCTTAATACATATTAGCTTCCCCAATCCACAGATCTTGGATGAAGAAACCAAAACGATATATAAGTGTTTAAGCACCAGTTTTGCATAATGAAAAGCCCAAAATGGGCAAAGCATCTCCAATATCCAAGACCAGTTGCTATGTGAACTTTGATTTTTGTGGATTTACAACTCAGTGTTCAACATAGAGAGAAGCAATCACTGTAGCACCATACTGTGATATGTTTTAAGTCGTGCAATCAGCCAATCCCAACATGAAAGACCTGTGGTCATTGGCAAGCTAGGAAATGTATATGTTCTAATAGAGTGCTCCTAAACCTTTTTTACCCATAAATGTTTTTATGATCTCCCCACATGGAAGGGAGCAGACATATTGGCTTCAAACCTAACTATCTCCTAAGTACTGCTTAGAAAATGCATAATGTCATGTTACTAAGGAGGAGAAGATGCATTCATTCTAAACTAGACATGAAAGAAGGCCTCTAGTTTTGTCAAAGGCATGTCCAAATACTACGCTAAAGCTGGAAATCTCCTTAGCATGTTCAACTGCTAAGACTGCTAATGACTAAATAGGCCCTTTCAAGTAAAGCTGAAAAATGCATGATCTTTGCAACAGAAGTATTACCTCTTCAGCAACATAGATAAAGTAGTTAACGAGGTCACCAGGCACACCAGGGAAACGAGCTCGTAGTTCTTCCCTCTAAAGAAAAATGGATCACCAGCAAAAAGTCATAAACACCAAGCATTGATAAATGCTATAGAAATATTTACTAAAGAATAATCTATACCTGGCTAGCAACGCCAACAGGACAATTGTTTGTGTGGCAAATACGAGCCATTACACAGCCAGTTGCAATCATAGCCACAGAACCAAATCCATACTCATCAGCTCCCATAGCTGCAGCCATAAGAACATCAAATCCACTTTTGAAGCCACCATCAACTCTGAGTATGACCCGTTCTCTAAGCCCATTTTCAATAAGGGTCTATAACAGAATTAACCCCAAAAGATCAATAGGAAAACATGAGATCATCATACAAAATAGGATACAGTATTATGACAATTCATTCTAACATATATTCTACAAACCTGGTGTGTTTCAGTCAGTCCAAGTTCCCAAGGACCACCTGCATGCTTAATTGAGCTTACAGGGCTAGCTCCTGTTCCACCATCATGCCCTGATATCTGATAAATCAAATTGTCAATAGAGGATTGCAGAAGCTATGGTGGATTATTGTTTATGTTTTTGTTGTTGTTTTTTCTTTGGTGGGTGGATTTTGGGGTTGGGGGGGTGCAACCAAATACTGACAACTAGAAGGAAAAACCATAGTCATAGTTAAGCCAATTGTTTTCTCTTTTTATTTTTCCTCCTTGGATGTTCTTTGCTTAAGTGGTGATGGAGACAGTTATATACAAGGTCTGATTTAGTTTTCCTTTGATAGTTAGTTTTTGTCCCATGGTTACCACCCTGAACTAAAAAAGTTATCCATACTTGACAAAAGACCAAAGAATACTACTTAATGCAATATTGTATTCATAGATCTTGTACATGCAAAATGAGAAGGCACTCATGAGAAAGGAAAAAAGCACAAAATGCCAATAAATTATTGTGTTCATTGATGACCAGAAATTCTCAATCATGCAAAAGTAAAGCTGTGTTCTAAGAAAGAAGCAAACTTGATCACTGAAGTAGAACAGGAAGAAAGAACAAGAACTGCAATTTTCAATCACGGCTCCAGGATCACATATATGGAAATGAATTTTCTGTTATCAGACTCTAGCAATGTCCAAACCTCTTCCCTAAAATCCAATAGCCCCAAAAAAAAAAATGGTAATTGCACAACTACAAGATGATAAAACTCTAACATCCCAATGTTATTATGAATTATTAGAATCTTCACCATTCTACTTCATATAAGTGAAATCCTAGAGGAATTCTGTACAACTATTCCTATCTAAGAAAAAAGCAATCGCCTTTACCTTGTTTCTTTGACAGGCAAGCCATCACCAAAATGTTGGATTAGAGTTAATTAACAATTATCATTTACCCTTGCCTTTTTCTAATTTGGAATCAACCAAAGGAAGGGCAAAGTTGTTCTAGGCTTTCTGTCACAAATATCCTAAAGCTGACAATTTTGAGCAAAAAGTGCAATATACACACAGGCACACGAACACATGCAGATGCTGAATCCTCAAAAGAGCATATAGACAATTAGTCACATCTTGATACCTGTATAATATCAGCATTACCCTTCGCAACCCCTGAAGCAACTGTGCCAATGCCAGCTTCTGCTACTAGCTTTACTGACACTTTAGCCTTCGGGTTAACCTAGTTTTAGATAGAGTCTTATAAATTACTTTTCCTGTTTGAATTGACATTTGTATTAAGCATTACAAAAAAGAATTGCATACTTAAATTTCAACCTGATGGAGGTCAAAAATCAACTGAGCAAGATCCTCAATGGAATAGATATCATGGTGTGGAGGAGGAGATATAAGGGGTACACCAGGTTTAGAATTTCTTAATCGTGCGATGTAAGTGCTAACTTTTTTTCCTGGCAATTGCCCACCTTCACCAGGTTTTGCACCCTGAGCAATTTTGATCTCTATTTGATCAGCATTGACTAAAAATGTTGGAGTAACACCAAAGCGTCCGGAAGCAACCTGCAAAATAAAAATGGTAAATCCAACTATTCCCCATATTACAATATAAATGCTCTTCAATTGACACAGATAAAGGCGACATGCAAAATCTTTGAAGCTAAGTATAACATATTGACCTGCTTGATAGCACTTGTAGCAGTATCACCATTTTGAAGACCTTTAAGGTGTGGCAATGTTGGAGAATACCCATCAACGACATCCGTAAGTGGCTTCCAGCGAATTGGATCCTGTATGATTTCGAATATAACAACCATAACTTGCAAATGTTTCCAAGTTGATGAAATGAAACTAGCACAATCTTCCATTGAGGCGTCTGGCATAAAAACCAGTCGATTACCTCACCACCTTCTCCTGAATTTGATTTTCCACCCAATCTATTCATAGCAATTGCAATTGCCTCATGAGTTTCCCTAGAAATAGCTCCAAGTGACATTCCGCCAGTACAAAAGCGCAGCACAATTGAGGAAGCAGGCTCAACCCTTCCAACTGGAATAGGGGGACGATCACTTTTAAATTCAAGAAGATCCCGGAGAACCTACAAATGAAAATATGCTATATAGTTAGAGAAGCCTTATAATCTCATCCATAAAGTTACATAAATGAGTAAAACGGTGGTAAAACTCTATCTATTATCATCTTCTCTGTTAACCATGTTAATAACTTAGACGATGCTAAAAGATCAACAAGGAACGAAACAAATATTAGCCAGAGCAACTCACATTCACAGGTCGGGTAACTAAGTGCTGCTGATAAACTGAATATGCACTTTCATTTTTTTGTCGGACAGCTTTATGAAGCAGTTTTGACATCTCAGGGTTGTTGCCATGATACTCCCCTTTGGTTAAATACAATAAAAACTTTAGCACTTAAGCTTACATAAGGAATATGGTGAAGTTTCAAGCAAAATCTGAAACTAAAGGTAAAATATGTTTCATATATACATATATGTAAGATAAGCATGTACAGTAGTAATACCTCCTGGTCTGAATTGTATAAACCCAAAATTTTCAAGTCTTTTCGCTGTATCCTCAGAGAAAGCCTTCACCCAAAATGACAATGTCTCTCTTGCTAGCTGCATGAAATGAAAAAATTCCATTTGAAGATGAGAGGAAGGCTTTTTCAAGGACTGTAAGTTATGTGGCATCTCTGATGGATATTTCCACCCAATAGCACAAGTTTTGAGTTTGACACTTGGTGTTGCATATGTGCAGAACACGGACATCAAAGCCAACTATATGCAAGGAGATTATATCCTAAAACACCAAGTTATTTTGAGTCAGATTTCCAAGTATACTCTATCACAACCTCTAGATTTACTTGATCCAAGATTCTCAACGACTAAGTAACAATTTCATCCACCGAGATTATAACCATCAGTTGTTTAAGTACATTTGAGACATTGTTATTAGGTAATTCCACCTAAAATAAACATTTAAAGTCAACCTCAAAGCACAAAAATGAGTCAAGCTTACCTAACATGTCAGTCAAAATAGTTATACTCCTTGAAAAGTGAATGCAATGAAAGAGTCAGAATTTAATACACTTCATTTACAAAATGGTTCATAACTTACAACCTCTGCAATTTAGTCAAGTTACAGCCAAGACCACCAGAGATTTTGGGAACTATACAAAGAGCCCCATCAATTAGACATCCTACAGAGATTTGTAGCTGTTAAAAATGTCAAACATTTGCCTGACTTGTGTAATGATTATGTGTTATAAAAACTAAGGAGAAGAAAAAGATGCCCATTATTTCTTCTTTGTAAAAGAAAAACAAAAAACAACAGGCAAAAACTTAAATCAAAATACAAACCCCATCACTCCAAATGCACCTTTTTCCTTCTGTTTCTTCCACCTAGCTCCCTCTTTCATTCCCGAGCATTCATCTGTCGCCCTTCCCTGTTTCCTCCAGCTTAACCATGGCTACTCCACCATGCCTACCCTTCTTTCCCCTGCCTCTTCCAAGACCCCTTCATATTCTTTCCCATCTCTTCACCAATTCCATCTTCCAAGCCTGCTTTCTCTGGTCTCTTCATTATGTAGCCAATAGCCTTACCATCCTTTGCTCAGTGCAATGTTTCATGATCAAGGGAGGAAAAGGAAGAGGATGAGGATTATGAGAAAGGAGAGTTAATTTTCATTTTGTTTCGAAGTCAGAATTATAATTAATTCTTTAGGCGGAAGGTATCCAGGAAGTTTGAATCCAGACAGAAGCTTTATTTAGTAACATGAGTTATATGTTTACTAGTCAAGGGGTATTTCTCAGTGGACTCTCAAGTCAAAGAGTGCAATTGTTAGCTATCAACACCTCTAATTGAAGTTTTCAAGGGCTGTAATGACAGTAAATGGAGCTGCAAAGAGGGAAGCGAGGGTCACTGACCCCTATCCCCTTAAAGATTGAAAATTCCTTTGGTCTGTTTGGCAAGCCTGTTTTCGGGCTGTTTTAGACAAACAAATTTTTTCAGAAAACCAACTTGCTAAAAAACCTAAAATTTTATTAGAACAAACCACCCCTCCCTCCTCCAAAAAAAAAAAAAAAAAATCACCACCACCACCTGTACCCTTCCCTCTCCCACTCCCCCCACATGATTCCCCCACCAGCCAACCCCTCCTCCCTTTCCCTCTTCTCCACCATGTTCTTCCTCACCCTCCCCCTTTCCCCTCCCTGCTATTGCTCTCCCCTCCTTTCAACCAAATCTGGGGAGGAGAGGGGGAGACCGGGGCAGGGTGGGGGAGGAAAGTGGAGGAAATGGGAGATGGGTGGGGGGTAGAAGGTGGTGGGAGGGGGAAGGGGGTGGGAGGGTTGGGGTAGGAAAAGAAGAGGGGAAGGAGGAGGGAAGGGTGGAAAGGAGAAGCAAGAAGAGGAGGGAGTTTGAGAGTGGTGGTGGGTGTGAAAGAGAGGAGAGGGGTGGTGGTGGGTGTGAAAGAGTGGTGGTGGTTGTGGGAAGGTGGGTGTGAAAGAGTGGTGGTGGGAGGGGAAGGGGGTGTTTTGGAAAAAATTGGTTGTCACAAAAAGCACCCAAAACAACTACATGAGCTACAGGAATGTATTGGACAAAAACCTAAATTGATATCCTATACGCCTGTGGTTATGCTGTAGAGAACCAACACTATTTTAGTTGTAAAACCTGAAGTGATCTTAGTTGTGAAGCTATTTGAACACAACAAATAACTATTACACCATCAAATGAAAAAATTAAAGCCAATTATGCAAGTGAATGTAGTCCACATCTATAATAAGGAAAAACCAACCTCCACATTGTTATACCAATAAGCAAGATATGGACAAGAAGACTTGATCTATCCAAGTAAAGACAAGCTTGTGACAACGTTGGAGGATTTCTGTTGTGTCAATAATTGACTGATTACAAAACATAAATTAATTAACCAATTAAAGCACTTAGCATACTATTTGTAACCTTTTTATTTGATATTACAAACCTGGCTATTATACGGAAAACTTCTATGTTTGGAAAGATTAGCATTTAAAACAAACAATTTTTCTCTACAAGTTATGGTACAGTGGCATATTTTACAAAAGTAATCTTGTCACATGCCCCACCCTGCTAGTGGAGATCCCTACTATTCTGGGGTCCCCAGCTCAACCAATGTGTGATGGCATTCTAGCCAAGAGCCACGGATATGAATACAGCTTATCCTTGATTTATCCCTACCAAACTCAAAATTCTAGGAAGTTATGCTAGCAAAAACAACAGTTGTACCACAAGCATATCCTTTCCTTTTTGACAGGCCTAATTGTTAGTAGTCATTCTTCCACTTAGAAGACAGTTCCATTTATTGTACTCCAAAATATTTTTCTTTACAACACAATAATATGGGACAGTAAATAAGTACTCAATGATTGAGTTTACTACCTCATCCAGGGTTAAGCCACCAATAGTCGATACACTCCCACAAAATGCTATATCAATAACATCTTTCCCCAGTCCATAGGCTTCAAATATCTGTGCACCACAATAACTAAAACCAAGTAACTTGTTAGCAGTTTCCCTCAAAGCAAGAAAATCCCAGAAGTATGATGAGTGAAAGACAAGTACATACTTGTTACCTAAAATCAGTATGGATCCCATGGCATGAAAAATTAATCAAAATATCGACAAAGAAAAAATTACTAATAGCCCCCATTTCTTAAGGATGTTATTCCCCATATTATTGCTTTACTAAAGCAACCTTTAACCTCCTTACACTTTGTACTAAAGGTAAAATGAACTATAGAATACAGAGATAAAAATTAATTAATCACTACAAACACATGACATTAACACTCCATCGCGAGGATTTCTAGGATATGAAAACAAACATGTTACTTTTCATCTTTTTGAATTGATCCCAGAAGCACTTGGCACAACACCATATACCATGTTAATTAAAGAGTATACTATTGATTCGCATGCTTGCATATGAGCACTTAACATATAGAAAACTAGGAGTTTTGACATCCATATTTCCTTGAATGTAAGAGGATAAAACCCCAAGGAACTCATCAGTAAGTTTGAAAAAGCACAAACCTTGATAGCAATGAGATGCCCATTTTGGAGAGGATTTTGAGGAGACCAGCTTTAACAGCCTGAAAACAAAATTGAGCAATAAATATTTCTGCTCAGCATCTTAAGCATGCAGTACTTAGTAGTTTTCTACTTCACGAAGCAAATCATTTCCACGAAAGATTTTCTCCTGTGACTGAAGAGCTGGAAAACAAGAATTCTATATCGCGAACATTGACAAAATGAACTGTTTCCTTAACTTCACTCTTTTAAAATTGTCCTCATTAAAACTATAGTGAATCTTGCTTGGGAAGTAAGAAATCAGACCAAAGTGGAATGATATAATACAAACCCAGAACTAAATCAAACAATAGTATTATGCAAACATGAAGCTGATAATGCATAAAAACACAAATGGACAACAAGCCATTCCCTAATTATAATTTAAAAAAATTTAAGTGTAAAATCATACCATATTTTGGATTGTACCTGCAGATAGACTAAATTTTGGCCCAAGCAAAAATTGCAGAGGACACCAGAGTATAACTACATTCTTATGAGAAAAATTTGTTCATGGAAATGAAGGGTTATATTATGGATAAGACTCTAATCAAAGGAAAATTCTTAGCAGCAAGAAAATATCCAAGTATCCACAAAGCACAGAACCTTGTCTATGAGGAGGACACAAAAAAAGAGTGAAACATGGTTCACATTATTTCTATACTTCACATAAAGCATGTCATTATCCTTAAACATGATGTCACCTGAGTATTAGGCCTACTGTTTATTCAAAAAAGTAATATACAGGTAGGGCCTAAATAAGAGAATCCTCCTATACTTGTATGAGATAATTGTTGGTAAAAAATATTAATACAAAAAGATTGCAATTTACAAGAATGGTGGTAGTAGCTTGGTGGTTTTGGATTTGGCCTACTCAGCAGTGCTCGATGTAAAAATAAGTTGAAGTGCCTGTCACATCCCCTAAAGAGTTTATGAAGTGCGAATGTTGGATTGATATGTGAGAAACACTTGAGTCCTTCATAAACTAATTAAATGAAGTACTTAAGAAAAGAGAAATACTAATACAAAGTCAACAAGGTAGAATTAATATAGTTATACAAAATGGTATCCTCCATCTCATCAAGGATTTGAAAAGGGATCATCCCTCAGAAAAAATTGCTCATTTCAGCTAACAAGGACTTATCAGGCATATAGATTAGGTCAATCATGATTAAAAACATAATCACCAACCAATATTTGCGCTTAATGCATTGATCAAACCCAAAGTATTCTATTTTTCCTTACTCCTGATCATTGTATGCCTTACATGCTATGTTGCCAGCTTACATGCAATGAAACCAGTTGCCTACCAGAATTCACTCGAATTTCATTAGCCGTTCTGCTAATAAAGATTGCATCCATGAGTTTAACAATTGCAACAGAAACTCTGTTGCTGAAAAATCTCTAGATTTCCGAGTTGCAACCTCAATCATAGCTCATGAGTTGTGTATAGAGGAGAGAAGCACAGGGAACAAACGAGACGCACCTCAGATGCAACATAGACAACATTATCTTTTGTCCTCCAATACCTAGCTGGGCGAAGTCCATTACGATCAAGACAAGCTCCAACTGTTTTCCCATCACTGTGACATACAAAGGAGAAAAAAATTTATGAGATTATATTTGAGAGACTACAAAGAAACAAAAGGTGATCATTTCATCAAGTTCTTAGAACGTGCATGCACTGTATAATGTCACAGTGCACAAGAAATTTGAAAGTGCAAATACACAGCAAATCATGCATACATTCCTACAAGCAAGGTACAAAGGAGACTTGTTAACAGTTAAAAACTTCTGTAAAGCTAAACTGAAATTTTGTCCTACAGAACTTTACTGAAACTAGGCCTAAGCAGTAGCTCAAAAATGTGATAAAAAACTGTATATGGCAACTATACATGCGCCTAATCTTTGGAATTGACAGTCATATCAGTGGTAAACTCGATGCCTATCAGTGGTAAGCTCAGTCATAGGAGGCTCTTAAAATACTAAACAACTCTGCAACTCCAAAGTCGTAACCATTGTCAAAAGCTGACTCTAATAACACGCATTTGATTCTAATAACTACGTAAAAAGTAACAAAACCCAATGTGACCCTAATAATACCTCTCAGTGTGTTTAAATGCACCAAGGGTAAAAAAAAAAACTCCTAAGCAGATCAAACAAGCATGCAAATTTTGGATAGTGCATGCTTTTAAATGAAATAGCATAGACAATTTCAACATACATGTATGGAATAAAATAATCACAGCATGCACAAGTTGCAGCAAACACAGAGTGTCATTGGATATCAACAAGAAAAGGCATTTTCTGGATTATGTAGACAGCTATTAAGGAAGTAAACAACAACATCAACACCTTAAAAGCAATTAATGAAATATACAACAGAAAAATGCTAAGAAAAACTAAAGGCATTCCATCATACTTCCTACTTTTAGGAGCTTACTGTTTAGGGGCTCCTTGACATGAAACACAATGCATGGTGATTAAAATCATTAACATTTCATCATGATGAAGAACAACCATAATTACAATTGTGCCATCTGTGTATGTAGCATACTTGCCAACATGCAGCACTAAAAATTGTTAGGTCTGATTTTCAAAATCACAATATTCTATGAAATACTATTGTAACAAACCGAATCTTCATAACAGCCAAACAGTGGGACTCTAAAATTACAAAATCTGAAAAAAAAAATGAAATGAGTCATTAATCTAAATACTAAAACACATTTTACAAAAAATTATGCATTGAAACCATCACCTAAATAAAAGTAAAGCAGGTCCATCCCAAGCTTCCATTTGACCCTTGTAGTAGTCATAAAAATCAACAACCTAAACGAGAAAAGATAGAGTCAGACCCACTTGGATTATTCAGCCTTTAGCCTAAACCCCGCTGTTAAACATACAAAAGAAAACTATATTCAGATCATTCACATGAAAGGCTGCAAAATATGAAAATTAAAATGTTTCATAGAGACTATTCATGAATTTGCATCATAAGGATTCATTCGTTGTTTCAATTGTTACTATCCTTCTTATGAGTACCTCAGGATATTTTATAGACAATGTAGGATGGTTCTTGTATGCCTCTGGGACAAGAACCATTAGAGCTTCTTCAGGAGTACGACCACTTCTTATCAACAACTGTATACAAGAAACAGAAATGGAAATTAACCAATACAAGTGTAAGTTCTAAGAGAAATGAACCAACGTATATAATTTAGACTAGCAAGAAAGCACAGTTCAACACTATCTGTCAGAATAGGCAGTTGAATCCAATTTGATTATTCAAAAAATCCACCAACATAGATCAACTAGGAATTATAGTCTCATTTTTTCGTTTTAGCAGCACATACTGATAAAGATACATGACAATAAATGCAGCATGATTGATTAATTTCAGCCGAATGCAATTTACGGTTCCAAGACATGTTGGTGTGTTGTTGCCTCTCGAACTTCACTCTGTATTAAGCACATTCCAGCAACAACCACGTAAACTATTTCCATAATGAAGCAGGCTAATACCTCTGCTGTACTATCAAGATTCGCGGCGAGTCAGATGCCTTTGGGTTCCCAAAAGGACGAATTTCATTCTCGCGACCACGCCAAACAGAAGACTTCAATGAGGCTTCCCGAGATCGCATCCAATTCAAATTTCCCTGTATAAAGCCTTTTGGATCAATAAAATGAACCACAAAGAAATCTATGAAAAAGGAATATAAACGGCTGAAAAGAAAAGCATATTGTTCAAGTTCTGTCAAGACCTGTATAGTGTTGATCTCTCCATTGTGACCAAGAAACCTCATTGGTTGAGCTAGAGGCCATCTAGGACTGGTGTTTGTACTGTATCTCCGGTGGTAAATAGCAAATGGTGATTTATAAAGATCATTCTGCAGGTCAAAATAAAATCTCCCAAGAACTTCTGACCGCAACATTCCCTTGTAAACTATGGTTTGGTTGGACAATGAGCAGAAGTAAAGCTCATTTCCCCAGATTTCAGAGTTCACTGCTCTTTCGATCAATTTACGACAGATGTAGAGTTCTCTTTCAATGTCATCAGCATTCTCTTCTTTACCAATTCTAACAAAAACCTGCTGTATGTTGGGCAAGGTTTGTCTAGCATAAAAGCCGACTATAGAAGTATCTACTGGGACTTGCCTCCATCCAAGCACTTCAAGACCCTCTTGTTTAAAAATATTCTCAACAACTACACAAGTGAAACAGAATCAAAATAGAGAATATGTGCACAACATGCAAAACCACAATCAAACATCATAGCTAACCACTAACTTGGTGATTAAACCAGCAGTGAATAGAAGATCAACAAGCCTTGACATAACATAAGCCTATTTAACACCTTGGTTCTCATAAGGCTCACCCAAAACACCGGATTTTATCTATATGTAGGTGGATAGACATGTTTTCTCAACTATCAGAAGTAAGTTATGATGGAAAAGGAAAATTGAATGCTATATCTGTGTATCAAATACAAAAGTGCATAACCTTACACATTTCTTGCATTCTCTTTTATGACTTTGCATTGCGTGAAAGGGGCACTAATGGACATAAAAATATAAAATTAGAACCCAGTGAAACCTAACCTAACAAAAAGAGTGATAAAGAATTTATACTTTCAATTCAAGTAATCTCCTACGGAGGATAGCAAGAAACTAATGTGGATTCAAGAGGATGCCCAAATTCTTGGAGCAATATGGAATTCTATGGAGCCACGAATTGCTTACATGTGTTCTCATTGTGAGACAACAAAAGAAGTTTGGGATTATGTCCGGTTATTATATTACAGTAATCTCTCACGGATGTATGATATTTCTTTGGAGTATTTTCAGTTGCAACAAGATAATAAAACAGTAACTGAATACTTTGCTGATCTTAAGCGAGTCTTAGAGGAATTAAATGCTGTAATGCCTCTCTCAAGTGATATCACGGTTATGCAGAGGCAAAGAGAACAAATGCTTGTGCTCAAATTCCTGGCTGGTCTCAAGCCAGAATTTGAACCAATCAAATCTCAAATTTTAGCAGGTGAACAATTACCATCCTTTGCAAAGGAGTATGCTCGGGTCTTACGTTCTGCGTCTAAGGACAATGCACAGGGTGATGGTGTTCTAATTAATGACAAATATGCTTTAATTGCTAACAACAATCGGACAGAGCAACTTAATTTTGGACGTGGCTCTCGTGGAGGAAGAAGTAGAGGAGGTCGTGGGGGTCGTGGAGGTCGAGGCACCCGTGAGTGCAATCATTGTGGTTTAAAGAATCACACTCGTGATACTTGTTGGGATTTAAATGGAAAACCACCTCGGTTTGTTAATACGGTTACCACTGACCAAGCTGAATCAAGTTCTTTAGCACAAGGGTCTCAGAAGACTGTTACCATATCTGAGGAAGATTATATCAAATTTCTGCAGTACCAAACTGCAAATCACGCATCTCTTCCCTCTACTTCTGTAGCACAAAAAGGTAATGCTATGGCTTGTCTCTCCACATCATCTAATTTTGTCTCTCCACAAGCTTTCTTCATCAGTCCTCTTGTCCTCACACTCCACAACATAATGGAGTTGCTGAAAGAAAAATTGGACATTTAATCGAAGTTGCTCGGACACTTTTGTTGCACATGAATGTGCCCAAACAATTTTGGAGTGATGCAGTTTTAACTGCATGTTATTTAATTAATCGCATGCCATCCGATATTCTTGGAGGCCAACTACCTCACTCCATTCTTTTTCCTCAGGACCCTATATTTAAATTACCTCCTCGTATTTTTGGTTGTGTGTGTTTTGTTCATCAGCTTGCTCCCGGGGTGGATAAATTAGATTCTCGTGCCATTAAGTGTATTTTCTTAGAATACGCACGAGCACAAAAGGGGTATAGATGTTACAGTCCAGTTTTAAATCTTTTTTTCACTTGTGCTGATGTTACTTTCTTTGAATCCACTCCTTATTTTATGAAGCAAGATATTTCTTGTGAGTTAGACCAGTGTTCCTCTTTTCCTCCTCCTGTTTTACCAGTCCCTTCATCTTTATTACCTGAGTTATCGGGTTCACCAGATTCCACCACTCAATTATCTCGTCCTAATCTTCAAGTTTATTCTCGTCGTTCCATGGTTGAGAAAGCTCCTGATATGCTACGCACTTCACCAATTAACTCTCAATCTTCAGATCCAGGTATGACGCCCTCCTGTGAGTCAGATCTCCCTATTGCTTTACGTAAAGATAAGAGACATTGTACTTCTCATCCTATTTCTAATTTTTTCTCCTATTCTCGTCTCTCTCTGTCATATTCTTCTTTTGTTGCATCTCTTGATTCGGTATCCATTCCTAAGTCTATTACCCATGCTCTCAATGATCCTGGTTGGAGGTTAGCTATGCAGGAAGAGATGCTTGCTTTGGAGAAAAATGGTACTTGGGATCTTGTCCCTCTTCCGTCTGGTAAGCCGGTTGTTGGTTGTAAATGGGTGTATACTATAAAAGTACAACCTAATGGTTCTATTGATAGATTGAAGGCTCGTCTGGTAGCTAAAGGATTTGCTCAGGTGTATGGCATCGATTACTTCGAAACATATTCTCCTGTTGCAAAGATTACCTCTGTTCGTCTTCTTATCTCTTTGACAGCAACTTATAATTGGCCATTGTATCAGTTGGATATGAAAAATGCATTTCTGCATGGAGATTTGGAAGAAGAGATATATATGGAACAACCTCCTGGATTTGTTGTTCAGGGGGAGAATCCGCGGTTGGTTTGTCGTTTGAAAAAATCCTTATATGGATTGAAGCAGTCTCCAAGGGCTTGGTTTGGCCGGTTTAGTAGTGTTGTCATGGAGTTCGGTCTGACAAGATGTGGAGTAGATCACTCTGTATTTTATCGGCATTCTAATGCTGGTAAAATTTTATTAGTTGTTTATGTGAATGATATTGTGATTACAGGTGATGATGTTGTGGAGATCCAGAAACTTAAATCCAATCTGCAGGCAAACTTTCAGACAAAGGATTTAGGTCATCTACAGTATTTTCTGGGTATTGAGGTAGCTCGGTCTAAATATGGGATTTATTTATGTCAAAGGAAATATGTACTCTATATGTTGAGTGAAGTTGGGATGTTAGGTTGCCGACCTGTGGATACTCCTATGGATCCCAATGTAAAATTAGCAAGAGATCAAAGTGCATTACTTGATGATCCTAAGCAATATCGAAGACTTGTGGGTAAATTAAATTATCTCACTGTAACGAGACCTGACATTTCGTTTGCAGTGAGTGTTGTGAGTCAATTTCTTGATACCCCTCGTACTAGTCATTGGGATGCTGTTGTACGGATTCTCAGATATCTTAAAAGTGCTCCTGGAAAAGGGTTGCTGTATCAAAATCATGGACACACTGATATTGAAGGATATAGTGATGCAGATTGGGCTGGTTCTGCCTCAAATCGAAGATCGATCACAGGATATTGTGTGTTTGTTGGTGGTAATTTAGTGTCGTGGAAGAGTAAGAAGCAAACAGTTGTATCCAGATCAAGTGCAGAATCTGAATACCGCGCTATGGCTCACACTGTGTGTGAGTTGGTTTGGTTGAAGAGCATGTTACTTGAACTTGGGTTTGAGCATAAACAGCCTATGAATTTAGTGTGTGATAATCAGGCGGCTGTCCATATTGCGTCTAACCCAGTGTTTCATGAAAGGACAAAACATATTGAAGTTGATTGTCACTTCATTCGAGAGAAATTGCTTGACGGAGTCATCAAGACATCTCATGTACCGTCTGTAGATCAATTGGCTGATTTGTTTACCAAGAGTTTAGGGGGTTCTAGGGTAAAATACATTTGTGACAAGTTGGATGCTTATGATATATATGCTCCAACTTGAGGGGGAGTGTTAGGAGAATATCAGTAGTCTTGTAGATAATAAGTTAGTAAGGGTATTCTTGTAAATAGTTGGTTAGGTTTGTACTCCTATAAATACTAGTTGGTCACTTATAATACGGTGACTAGATGTTTTCCTCCCAAGATACCTGTTTACAGATCATAAGATTTGACAAGATACCAAGTTGTTGAATCTCAACCAACTAATACATTATTAATTCTTCACAAACATCCAGAGAAACACATTTGACTTTGACCAAAGACTACTAATCATAAAGTATGTGCAGTACTGTGCTCAATTTAGGGCACTATTTGTGCATGATGAGATTACCTAGAGCTTTATATAGGACTGTTGCTAACCTGAGCAAACCGTTGTTTAAAGTAATCATAAAGCATATGAGGCTTCCTTGATAATACTGCTAATGGTATATCATCTCCCATACAGAAAGTGGGCTCCTTTCCTTGTGCAGCCATGGTTTCAATCACCATTTGGACATCCTCACTTGAATATCCATACGCCCTAAAGTCAACACATGTAAGAATCAGGGATCTTCAATATGATGACCACTCAAACGGTAACAAGAGAAAAATGAAAGGAACTGTCTTTAGTTGTTGATGACAACAACTGCTATAATGTTCTAAATGTTCTCAATGTTATTTTAATTTAATTCCCAGTTAAGAAACTGTCATCAAAATTACACATTTCCTCAGGAAACTCCATCAATTGTAAAATAAAATTGCTGGCACTGGTTACTTAGAAGCAAAAAGAAGAACAAGCATCGCAATGTAGTCTGAAAAGTGATGGAGAACTGAAGAAATTGAGTTATATGAAACAGCAACACTGGAAATTTGAAAGGATGACCTGAAATCTTCATGGATGAATGGTAGCATTTTAAAGCATCTCAAGGCCACAAATAAAAAAAGTGAGATAGTTAGATACTGCAGGTGCTTACTGCTGACGCCTTAATATTGCTTCATTGTCCATAACTGTTGCAGAAAGAAAGTTTACAGGCTTCAAGGACCGCAGGTTCTCAGTAACCCATTTTCCATAAGGATTTGATAGTGCTACTCGTTTTTTAACTTCTGTGTTTTCATATACCTGTTTAGATAATAAATGGTCAGAGAAAGTGTTGTAACAGTCACAATTTTGGAGCCTCAACAGATTATGGTAGAATAGAGAAATAACTATTTCAACTAATTTATTATAATCAATCTTATTCCTGAAACCACAAATTAGAAGTGAGAACAACAGCAAAAGCTTCAAAAAAAAGTCAATAGAGCATTCTTCACAGATGTGCATTCCAGCATGATGTAATCAGATCGGAGTAGAAGAATTTCCACAGACCAATAAAAAGGAAAAAAAAGAAATAGCAAAAGAATATTGACAATCAGCAATTCCTGAAAGAGTAGTTCATAAACGGGGCAATGAACAAGAACAGCTAACCCAACATTAGATGAAAATCAAAAAGCTCAAGAAAGGTTTTTTTCAATTATGTCATGATAAATCCAAAAGGTAACAGAACTATCAGGTAGTGAGTACCATTAGACCCATCCGAAATCTATCAATATACCAGTTTTATGTGCTTTTCCTCACTGTAGACGTCATCTTACTCAAATCAATACCAGTATACACCATTGTTAATACTGGTTAACATGCATTTGTGTGGATATCTAGGTGAAACCGAAATGAAAACTAATGGCAAATTATTATGTACTGTCCATTCAAACATCATGAAAAGATAACTGTCTCTAAAGCCATTCAGCCCAAGACAGTTATGCCCCAGTTTATATGAAATGGAGAAAACAGCATATGAATGTGATAGTTAGGGTAACGACAGTAAATGAATTGTCAAACCTGGCCACTTTTTAGATCAACAGCTATCATCATTCCTGGACCTAAACGGCCTTTCATCATGACTTTTGAATCGTCGATTGGAAGAACACCAACCTAGCCAACAATCAAAGGGATCACATTCAGTTCGTCACTCCCACGTGATGGTATTCCCTTTCTGTATCAGTCTTATGTAATCGTCCATGTTCACAACTGAGATTCCGCATAGAACTATTACCATTTTAAATCATTAGAAAATGTAGAAGATGCAAAAAAGTTGACCGAAAGCTTCTTAACAAAGCATTAGAGAAAAAAGACTTGGATTTCCAATGTATATTCAGCGATTCCTGAAGGTATATTAGTTGCTCCATCTTAGAAAAGGGCCATTGCTCTAAAAAGTTGTCATTTCATGTACATATTACCTGCTGTTTATAGAGCAAACTCTCAAACAGCATTGTGCATCCCCTCCACCACCTTTTTTCAAGAATAATCCACAAAACTGAATGCTAATAACATGTGGAGCAGAATGTTTGAACAACGATCCACTACAGTGCACTTGCTATCACGTGCAAAATCCATGACCCTCTTCCTCATAAATAATCCCAAAAGGTTTTTTGAGTGCTAATGACACATGGAACAAAATGTTTGAAAATCCTTCCACTATAATGTCGTGCCTATACTTTGGAAAATATATGAACGCCTTTATTAAAAGTTACGGTTGGAAGAAATTGCATATTTTGGTGGTGTTTGAGACTCCAATTACGAACTAAATATTAATACGTCAAGTGCTTTTTCTAATAAGACAAAATTTTAAATCAAAGTTGTATCACTTAATTTGCTGGATTGTTGAACTAATAGATTAACATCCACTCAAAAAATACTAAGTTTCACAGGTATACATTCTCTCTGTTATATGCACATACACATTCTCCCTCTCTCTCTCTCTCTCTCAGACACACAAAAAATACATTTTTCATCTCTCAGACACATACAATTTCATGCAAACTCACAAGCCAATGGTAATCTCATTTGTCTTTAGGTAGGTAATATATGTTTCTTCTTCACATTCCTCCACTAAACTATCCATTTGCAAGCATTACTTGATTTTTCCTCTGACCTCAGTTGTTTATATGAAAAAAGAAATGGCCTATGAGGTAAATGGAAACTCATTAAGAGAAAATTAAGGTGCTACCCTAACATAGTACTAAATGAAATAGCAGGCAATCTAAGTGCAAAACTAAGAGTAGATCAACTACATGCTTCGAGAAGGGACTCAATATGTATAGCTTCAACCAGAAAGAAAATCAATCATGACTTTGAACCATGCCTACTGTAGGTCAAAAGGTTTTCTCGCATGGGTAGCCTACACTTATACATACACAAATAGTGCAAGTATATGTACATATGTGTGTATTTCTACTTTTGTGTGAAACAGTGAAAGTATGGACATACAAGAGATATTATCAAATACCATAGATATCTGTTTAAGAAGATTCATGAAATATCAAATTTACAATCAAACTTTAGCTTAGAACCACAACCAGAAGTTATTAACAGCTATACAAGATGAGTTCAAATCAAATGAAAGAGCAACAAATGATGATTTCAGATCAAACTATAATGATTCCAGCAGAGGAAAAAGATTGACACAATGGAGTAAACAACGCCATGCATGCTGCACACTCCTGGGCTATTGTTTCTGGCAAAAGGACACCAGGATATTTCCTAATTTCTGCATATAAACAGGTGAGTACAAATATTTGACTCTAGGCAAATATTTAAGTCTACTCAAGCGTCACTTCTCAATTTTCAACAGTAAATTGATTTGTGAAACCAGTTGCCTACCAGAATTCACTCGAATTTCATTAGCCGTTCTGCTAATAAAGATTGCATCCATGAGTTTAACAATTGCAACAGAAACTCTGTTGCTGAAAAATCTCCTAGATTTCCGAGTTGCGCAACCTCAATCATAGCTCATGAGTTGTGTATAGAGGAGAGAAGCACAGGGAACAAACGAGACGCACCTCAGATGCAACATAGACAACATTATCTTTTGTCCTCCAATACCTAGCTGGGCGAAGTCCATTACGATCAAGACAAGCTCCAACTGTTTTCCCATCACTGTGACATACAAAGGAGAAAAAAATTTATGAGATTATATTTGAGAGACTACAAAGAAACAAAAGGTGATCATTTCATCAAGTTCTTAGAACGTGCATGCACTGTATAATGTCACAGTGCACAAGAAATTTGAAAGTGCAAATACACAGCAAATCATGCATACATTCCTACAAGCAAGGTACAAAGGAGACTTGTTAACAGTTAAAAACTTCTTGTAAAGCTAAACTGAAATTTTGTCCTACAGAACTTTACTGAAACTAGGCTAAGCAGTAGCTCAAAAATGTGATAAAAAACTGTATATGGCAACTATACATGCGCCTAATCTTTGGAATTGACAGTCATATCAGTGGTAAACTCGATGCCTATCAGTGGTAAGCTCAGTCATAGGAGGCTCTTAAAATACTAAACAACTCTGCAACTCCAAAGTCGTAACCATTGTCAAAAGCTGACTCTAATAACACGCATTTGATTCTAATAACTACGTAAAAAGTAACAAAACCCAATGTGACCCTAATAATACCTCTCAGTGTGGTTTAAATGCACCAAGGGTAAAAAAAAAAACTCCTAAGCAGATCAAACAAGCATGCAAATTTTGGATAGTGCATGCTTTTTAAATGAAATAGCATAGACAATTTCAACATACATGTATGGAATAAAATAATCACAGCATGCACAAGTTGCAGCAAACATTCAGAGTGTCATTGGATATCAACAAGAAAAGGCATTTTCTGGATTATGTAGACAGCTATTAAGGAAGTAACAACAACATCAACACCTTAAAAGCAATTAATGAATTTATATACAACAGAAAAATGCTAAGAAAAACTAAAGGCATTCCATCATACTTCCTACTTTTAGGAGCTTACTGTTTAGGGGCTCCTTGACATGAAACAAATGCATGGTGATTAAAATCATTAACATTTCATCATGATGAAGAACAACCATAATTACAATTGTATATCATGCCATCTGTGTATGTAGCATACTTGCCAACATGCAGCACTAAAAATTGTTAGGTACTGATTTTCAAAATCACAATATTCTATGAAATACTATTGTAACAAACCGAATCTTCATAACAGCCAAACAGTGGGACTCTAAAATTACAAAATCTGAAAAAAAAAATGAAATGAGTCATTAATCTAAATACTAAAACACATTTTACAAAAAATTATGCATTGGAAACCATCACCTAAATAAAAGTAAAGCAGGTCCATCCCAAGCTTCCATTTGACCCTTGTAGTAGTCATAAAAATCAACAACCTAAACGAGAAAAGATAGAGTCAGACCCACTTGGATTATTCAGCCTTTAGCCTAAACCCCGCTGTTAAACATACAAAAGAAAACTATATTCAGATCATTCACATGAAAGGCTGCAAAATATGAAAATTAAAATGTTTCATAGAGACTATTCATGAATTTGCATCATAAGGATTCATTCGTTGTTTCAATTGTTACTATCCTTCTTATGAGTACCTCAGGATATTTTATAGACAATGTAGGATGGTTCTTGTATGCCTCTGGGACAAGAACCATTAGAGCTTCTTCAGGAGTACGACCACTTCTTATCAACAACTGTATACAAGAAACAGAAATGGAAATTAACCAATACAAGTGTAAGTTCTAAGAGAAATGAACCAACGTATATAATTTAGACTAGCAAGAAAGCACAGTTCAACACTATCTGTCAGAATAGGCAGTTGAATCCAATTTGATTATTCAAAAAATCCACCAACATAGATCAACTAGGAATTATAGTCTCATTTTTTCGTTTTAGCAGCACATACTGATAAAGATACATGACAATAAATGCAGCATGATTGATTAATTTCAGCCGAATGCAATTTACGGTTCCAAGACATGTTGGTGTGTTGTTGCCTCTCGAACTTCACTCTGTATTAAGCACATTCCAGCAACAACCACGTAAACTATTTCCATAATGAAGCAGGCTAATACCTCTGCTGTACTATCAAGATTCGCGGAGTCAGATGCCTTTGGGTTCCCAAAAGGACGAATTTCATTCTCGCGACCACGCCAAACAGAAGACTTCAATGAGGCTTCCCGAGATCGCATCCAATTCAAATTTCCCTGTATAAAGCCTTTTGGATCAATAAAATGAACCACAAAGAAATCTATGAAAAAGGAATATAAACGGCTGAAAAGAAAAGCATATTGTTCAAGTTCTGTCAAGACCTGTATAGTGTTGATCTCTCCATTGTGACCAAGAAACCTCATTGGTTGAGCTAGAGGCCATCTAGGACTGGTGTTTGTACTGTATCTCCGGTGGTAAATAGCAAATGGTGATTTATAAAGATCATTCTGCAGGTCAAAATAAAATCTCCCAAGAACTTCTGACCGCAACATTCCCTTGTAAACTATGGTTTGGTTGGACAATGAGCAGAAGTAAAGCTCATTTCCCCAGATTTCAGAGTTCACTGCTCTTTCGATCAATTTACGACAGATGTAGAGTTCTCTTTCAATGTCATCAGCATTCTCTTCTTTACCAATTCTAACAAAAACCTGCTGTATGTTGGGCAAGGTTTGTCTAGCATAAAAGCCGACTATAGAAGTATCTACTGGGACTTGCCTCCATCCAAGCACTTCAAGACCCTCTTGTTTAAAAATATTCTCAACAACTACACAAGTGAAACAGAATCAAAATAGAGAATATGTGCACAACATGCAAAACCACAATCAAACATCATAGCTAACCACTAACTTGGTGATTAAACCAGCAGTGAATAGAAGATCAACAAGCCTTGACATAACATAAGCCTATTTAACACCTTGGTTCTCATAAGGCTCACCCAAAACACCGGATTTTATCTATATGTAGGTGGATAGACATGTTTTCTCAACTATCAGAAGTAAGTTATGATGGAAAAGGAAAATTGAATGCTATATCTGTGTATCAAATACAAAAGTGCATAACCTTACACATTTCTTGCATTCTCTTTTATGACTTTGCATTGCGTGAAAGGGGCACTAATGGACATAAAAATATAAAATTAGAACCCAGTGAAACCTAACCTAACAAAAAGAGTGATAAAGAATTTATACTTTCAATTCAAGTAAAACTCTTCCTACCCAAAAGAGTTGTAATAAGGACTAGAATTCTGACAAAATCCACTTCACTTCAATAACAATTAAAAGACCAACTCCAATTCATCTTATATATACAACTTCACTTCATAGTCATGCTTATTTCTTCCTTCTAAGCAACAAGCTGAAGGTATAATGAGCAGAATTATACCTGATTCACATTGTTCAAGCACACAAAGAAACCAGGTAACTATAACAAAAATCAAAGTCTTAAATGAAACAAAGAGGGCATTTTCCATTTTTGGTTCATGAAATGAACCCACTTTGCATTTTACTGCCGGAAGTCTGATATTCAAGCTAAGCCAAAGCAACATATAATCTTCTTGCTTACAACACATTCCAAGCACTTGGCAGCCACACAGTATAGCTTCAACTATGGAAAACCTTGTAGCCTCCACATGTTACCTTAAGAAGCCTCTCAAGGAGACTGGTTAGGGGCCACTTTGTTATTTCATTAGAACATAGTTCTAACTACACTATCAATTAACTTAGCAGATTGATAATTGCACCAACCTGTGGGAAGTGTTAGACTAAATTGAAGTTCAAGCAATTAAAAAAGTACATGATTGCAAATCATTCAAGAGGAATTCACTATAGAGAATCTTCCTGGTCCCTAGTAAATATGAGGATGGCTTGGAGCTGCAACACTAGACAGAAAGTATTTAATTTGGTTTTGATTTGCAAAGCTATTCACAATACTTGTCTAAACATAGGGCAAGTTACGTTAAAAACAAGGCAGACTATCAATGCTTTAGTTGGGCAATTTCAGATTGAAAGATAATAATGCTGCATTAAAACATGAAAATAAAAGAAATATGATAGATAACCTTCTTCCATCCCCCATCTTTTCATTTCTCTACATGCCTATGTGTGCTGAGTGTGTAAGTTGCAGGCATCAATTCAATATAACTGAAATGGAATTTGGGTCAGTAAATTTGATTATTGGAAGGCTCAAAAATTTTGAAGTCTAAGATACTCCTAAATGCTATGCAAAAAGTTTCCAATGTGAAACAATTTTGGGGAGTATCTGAAGTCCATCAGTCCAAACTTAAGAAGAATGGCAATCGATTTCAAATGCAGCAACATAACATCACTGTCAAAACTTTTAGTCTGGGAACAAGGACTTGGTCACAGCAACTTGTTTGTTCACAGTGTTCTATCAATAAATGAAATCGACAAACATGTTTAATGGGATAGCAAAACAACCAATGAGTAAGTATAAATATTGTTCATCAAGATGAAAGGTCACTTCCATTGTCACTGTATCTTCTCAAACTAAATACTACTACAAAGAAGCAAAAGGTTCCATGAGCTTATGAAAGAAATTACTTGTTTTCTAAATTTAATTTCTTTCACTGTTCATTCTTTAACAGATCTCAATTTTTAGTACTTTACGAATTTGGTTCTCATCAATAAGATTTTAAAGCATTGTTCAACAATTGCAGCAAAAAAAATCAAATCAAATAAAACTGTTACTACTCAAATAAGATTGACAAATTTAAAAACATTACATAATCACGTAAATCCACCATATTTTCGCCTAAATAATTGTATTTATACTATTTTATACACCTTCCAAACTTTTTGTAATAATGTTAATACATATTAAGTATTTGTCTAATAATAAATTCAATGACATAATTCTGTATCTTCTTATCAGTAATGTCTGTTTCACGAGTATTAATGGTGTAATTCTTCTATATGAAGAAATTAATTTCTGTTTTTTACCCTTACTGCTTAAATTAAACACTATAGATTGACTAAGCTCATTGAAACTGATAGAATCCTGCACCTAAACATCACCTCAACTTTGTATGCTTCAGTCATATACAGATAATTCTAGTACAGTGATGAATGTACTTCTTCATAGTTCACTACCGCCTTTGATCTTTCACTTGATTATTTAATTACATCTATCAAGAATATGCTATATAGTGTTACCTAATTTTTTTGGTAGCAGCTCTATAAAAGATATTTTGGTAAAAGGATGTATGTGATTTGTGAAAGAAACTCCAGCAACTAATTAAAAGTGATGAATGTAATTCTTCATAGTTCACTACCACCTTTGATCTTTCACTTGATTATTTAATTACATCTATCAAGGATATGCTATATAGTGTTACCTAATTTTTTTGGTAGCAGCTCTATAAAAGATATTTTGGTAAAAGGATGCATGTGATTTGTGAAAGAAACTCTAGCAACTAATTAAATCTTTATCACATAATTATTCAATTAAAACATATCAATGTTTATACTATACATGCAGTGTCCTCACAAGATTTGTATGGCAAACTGAGCAACATTAGCAAAGTCATTGGCCAGAATAAATGACGTGTAGTAAAAGGATGCACTTGGTTTCTGAAAGAAACTTGAGAACTAAATTAACTTGACACAAAAGTAAAATTAAAAAATGGGAAAGTCAAATGTGAGAGATCCAATATTGATTCTTGAGCAATTACCCTTGAATTTTAGGACTAAAAGTCAAAAGGCAATACTTAGTATTTGGCTTTCTTTTTTGGTAACTAAAGTTTGTTCACTCTTTTCAGATCTTCACTATTGCATCAAAAAAATGAAATTAGCATAAAGTGGTATAACGAACTAACTTGATTATCTGCGTCATAATATTTATGCATTTGAATTTCATGATTTGAGGTCATGAAGTCATATTAGAACCAACGTGGACATAAAAAGTACTTATTAGGTACTTATTCATAAAATCAACAACTTTAATGTATCTCTACCTGAGATCAAGTATGTTCAGAATAAGGAACATTAACATAGAGGGCTCCATTTCGATGGGGTGTTTTTAGAAAACTTTACTGTAGATGGGCTTTTCAGAAACATCTTTGAGCGAAGTTCCGTAAGTTTTAATTCGAGTGTGCCAGTGTCAGAAATATTATCTTGCTTAATACTAGATGTTGCTTTAGCTAGAATAGTCTTTTCCCATTTGTGACCCCCCAAGACAAAAATGACTTAATCCATTAAATTAAAAGATGTTTGTGAATTTGTTTTCCCATATCTTACATCTATTTTTATCAAAAAAATTACTGATAAACTTTTTAAAAGTGGACAAGATTGATTGAACTCTAAAGGAAAGGCCATTGAATATTGTTCTAAGCACAAAGATATTTGAAGAAAGATATAATTTATCATGCTTGAGCCAAAGTAAAAACTGTGGAGAATAAAGGACCAACGAAATTTGCTTGAGGAAGCATTATTAGTTTGGCTCTATGTGATTTATCATGGAGAAATAAAAAAGAAAACTTTCATGTAATTAAGAGTGCCTGGCGGAAGTGGCTACCTATGTGAAAATGACAAATTTCAATATTCAAAATTTGGACTCTTCTCGTACAGACAACCACCAGACAACCATATACTCATGGAAATCTCAAGAGAGCTCAAGTTTTTTCAATCATAAGGTGTTAGTTCCCTTAAAAGACTGCACTTATCCCTTTTTCCTGCAGGCAAGTACACATAAATACTTTTATGCTCCCAACATTTTGCCTTAGCTGTTACAGCAGTCAACTCGAATTGTCCTCATAAGAATTCCTATTCATTAAGTGCACATCAATATATAGACTACTGTACCAATAACATCACTCAAACACCCAAGGACCTAGAAATCCTACATAAACCTGAATTCCTGGATATGTAGTCAACTTATTAAATAGAATGCAAACCTCTAGCATGACTGACCTGTTTTAGCTTCTTTCATTAATTCATCATCCTGGGGAAGAAAAATCATTCCAACACCTGTGTGCAACGTATCAAATGCAGCAATCCCCTGCTTGACAGCCCAATCATTAAAAAAATCCCAAGGAATAGATGTCATCACTCCAGAACCATCACCGGAATCATTATCTGCTCCACAACCTCCACGATGTTCCATACAGCCGAGGGCAGTAAGAGCATCCTTAATTATGTCGTGTGATGCTTTATTTTCCAAATTTGCAATAAATCCAACTCCACATGCCCCTCTTTCTGATATTATATCCTCCAAATTTGCAACCTTCAAACAAGAAAATACAATCAAAATACCTGTGAAGTATTTTTATGTGAAATAGATAATAAAAAGGACAAAGACCCATAGCGTATCTGCATATATCTTTATTCCATATATGGTAGACACATAAGACTTCATAGTTCTAATGAATTTAACTAAACAACTTCATATGACTTTTTAAGGAGCATAAGAGAGCACAAAAGTAGTTACCAATAAAAAATTCGCAGTTACATCTAAAAATACTTGGGGATGGAACTTGATAGCTTGAAATCATGTGATTATAGCTTTATTTTTATGCTAAAAGCTATTTTCTAGTGTTCTTAATTGCTTTTTATCTTATTTTAAGCTGTGAAAAGCTGACTCCAAGAAACAGCTCTTGAGGTGCTCCAAAAACAGTGTTTAACTATTCAAAATTTACAAAAAAAAAATGTGCTTCTATTTATTTAACAGATTTTAAATAATCAAAACTTTCTTAGCCAACTTTAAAAAAAAGCACCAAAAAAAATAGCTGTTCTTTGAATATGCTGTTAATTAATTTGTGGCACGTGATTCAGCTTTTCAAATTCACAAGGAAAAATGTGTTTTTCTTCATTCAACAGATATTCTACAACCAACTTCTTCATAACTGACTAAAGAAAACAAAAGCTGTTTCTAAAATAAGTACTTAGTTAAATAATGGCATGTGAAATTGAGTCACCCGCGTGACATGCCAACCAAACTCAACAACAAAGACAGTGTCTTTTATCACAACTTCAATGAAGCTTAAACTAAAAATATAATTAGAAATCTATGCAAACAAACATTTGTAAATGAACTAAATACAAAGTAACAAAAAACATAACCCCCTTTTTAATCTGAAATTATGAAAAGGTAGTGGGAGGTTATCAACATATCAGCAGGCAGAATGAATGGTCTTGTTATTTCAAACATGAATTAAATTCCTGTACCACTGTCTGCTTGTAGTTTCAGTTTCTCCCTAGTAAAGCAGTCAAACTAGAATGAGAAATGCATGTTTATTGTTTTTCTTGGTTTGCCTCTTAACCTCAGTCACGCTCGGATCAGCATTTAGGATGATCATAGACTCTATGCAGATGATCATAGTCAAGTTAGTACTCCTGCAGATGATCTATAATTTGTTTAGAATGATCAGAACATTCTGTTGACTGATATAACGTCCAAAGATGAGCTTGACCTTAAATGCGACTTGTGGTCACTAGTTATGATTGCTACAGAGGAGGCATTCTTATAGAAATGGTTCTGGCGTTATCTAAACAATGCAAGAACTAGCTTGCCCTTTTGCTCCACTTATCTCAACAAAATTCCAGAAACAGAATTTCATGTAGATATGCTATTGCCTGGATGTCGAAGTATTCTCTTTCTTCCTTAAAATGTCATATGAGCTGATAAACCATCTTATTCCATGGAGTTCAAAACACCTAACCAGAGTCACCTTCCAAGAAATGTCAAATTCCAGAGAAATAAAATTTTCTGTAAAATGGTCATGCAAGATGAGGGCATTATCCATCCTACAGATCATTCACAATGTACCCCAAACTGTTGCAAAAGCATCAAGATTCTCTCGTTGAAGACCAAGAAGTAACCTCTTGGGAAATTCCATGCTCCTTATTAAAAAGCATTCAAGTTGTCCCTTCACTAATGGATTCCAATAATGAGAAGCTGCAATTCACCACTAAAAGAAGTATCATGCTGCACAAAGGTGCATAAATTTCTAATATAAAATTTGATCATAGTGCAGAAAAAATAAAAGAACCCCTTTGATGCTAACAGTAAATCAACTTCCTCTCGAGAAGTTGAAGGTTGATCCTGACAAACCCCGCTCAACTCCTCAGACAAATCCAATCCACATGATTTCATCAACTGGTATGGGCTTGCCATAGACGAAAGAAAGCTCAGTTCATTAAGTAAAGCAACAGTCTAGTTCACTCTGTTTTCGATTGATTATCAAGAAAAACATTGCTGCTTCTCAATGTACTGATTCTAATTAACCCCAATTTTTTGAACAACTAGTCATAAGAGCAATGTTTCTCCTCCATATCCTGCTCCTAATAACTAAACCAGAAAATCACCATCAATTTTCAAAACATATTAGTAAGCACACATTTTAATTAGCTATTGGAAAATATCCATTCAACCCCTTCAATCAAGCAAGATATCATTCATCACATCATTTAGGGGACACTTTCCCTGGCACTATACCATTTCCCAAAAGCACTAAGCAGCATGTTTCTAGTAACAGTACAAACAGAAAAACTGCTTGAAATCACATAAAGCAAACCTACAAATCTATCACTCCAAAATCTCAGGCCTCTGTCGGCTGACTCATTAAAATGCTGCTACCAGTATCAATGAAAGGCGACCAAAATACAACACTGTTTGATATATGTAATTACATCTAAATTGGGTTTTCAATGTACTAAATGAACAGCTGGACAAGAGAAAGATAAAAGACAAAACTTTCAAAAGATAACAATTCTATCAACCTACTGCTCCATTGTTCTATTTGCTAGTCCAATGATCATTAACCTGCCTAAACTGATCCCTACACAAACGACAACGCCAAATCCATATTTAAACAAAAACAAGAACGACCAATTATTAAGCTGTAATAAATTTAAGCTAATGCTGCTCCGAAAACAATTCAACAGAAAACTCAGAACAGAGAGCTTAGAAACAAACCTTGGGCTTTGAATCATCATCAGAATGGGAGGGTACTTTAGAAGAGGAAGTACCAGTGCGTTCAAGATCAAGAACAGCCCGGATAGAAGACGAAGACCAATTATTTCGTCCTAACAGACCACGTGTCGAAGGGGTAGTGGACGAAACTCCAAGTTTCCGGCGAGACCTTCTGAACTTACACCCCAGTCCAACAAAATCAACAAAAACCAAGTCCCTTGCATTAGAACTGGAGTAAAGCAGTCGTGGGACGACGTCAGGTCGCCCCACAACTGACTGCACTGAAGACATCAGCTCTTCTTCTCAATATTCACAACCAACGAACCCAAGATTGCTGGCTGTAAATGGCAAAGGGGGATGTGGAGAGAAATGGGATTGTGGGGATGAGGAAAATGTGTGGAGTGAAGGGAGGATGTGGGGATAAAAAGGACGAGAGGTCGAATTGGGAGGCTCTGGTTTTTTTCTGTATGGAAAAAAAAAAATCGAAGGATACGGTCTGCGTCAGTGTGGAGTTCACTTCCGACTTTCGTCTGCTGACGACGATGATGGATTTGATTTGTGCTGTTTTTTGTCTTGTTGTAGTAGTATTTGTTAGAGGGCGGTGAGGACTGAGGAGTGAGGTGTAGCTTGGCTGCTTCGACTTGGCGACTGTCTGTTGGAGCCAAGGGTCAGGTTTATGATCTATCGAACGTGTGGAGGAAGAGAAGAATGAATTGTCAGCCGTTTTTGGTTCAAACTTCTGCCTTGAACAGGATGCCGTAGCTCTTCTCAACTTCTATTCTACGTCAGGAAACAATCAGCTTCGTGTTTAACTTTAACTGTGTGTATTTATTAATAACACCACCCATTTACTGTGATTTTGTATATTGAAAACTTGGTCAATTACATCGATCTTTCATGAGATTAAGCCAAACTACAAAATAAATTTTGAAATTTGATCAAATTACGAAATAATCCTTTGATCTTCAAAACCAAAACAAAAGAGTCGCTGCTGCTGTTAATCTCCCACCCCCTCTGGCTTTGTCTTTTAACTTGAAAATTTCAAGATAGGAACAAAATAGTATTCAAATGGAGCCTCTTGTGACTCCATAATCACATCCGGGAAACCATTTCATTTCATCAAATGCAATGAAAAGACTTCAACAAATATCAAACAAGTCTTCTAAATATGTCAAATGTTGCTATTTTTATACCCAACAAAAGATCTTCAATATGAAATTGTCCCATTCATCTTTTGCTGAATCCCTTGTGTTTTCGATCTTTTCTCTTCAAGTTCATGAGTTGTAAATTCAACTGGATGTGTTTCTGGACATTTATTTAATTGTTTAGGAAAGATGGGAATAATAAACTAGATGAGTACAATGGATTTATGACACGTTTTGGTTAAGTGGGTGATAGGGTGTTAATTGTTGGTATTTTTATTATTAATTTTCCCTTCTATCCCTGACAAATATTGTGTTAATTGCTGATATTTACTCATATTTGGTATCGGGACTTAATTTCAGGAATGAAGCAGAAAACTACCAAAAAGGAGGGACTTTATGGAGAATATGGAGACTTCTAAGGGTTTCAATCCTTAGGCCTTGGATTGGTGGGGACCACAAAGCTATAAGTCATTTGGGCTCTTAAAAGAAAGGAACGTAGAGAGACTTGGAAGAAGAAGTAATTTTGGAGACTTTGTCCACATGTGTGGGGACCACCGGAGAGAGCTTTGAGTCATCTTACTTTTGGCTTTTTAAGGAGAGGACGTACGGAAGCAAAAGGGGGGGACCTCTAGTTTAGTTTTTTAGTTTAGTTCTAGTTTCCTTTCTCTGGACTGGCCTCTGACACACGCCAGGTGTTCGACAATATTTCCCAACGGGAAAAACATCTTTTATTCCTTGCTTTCTAGTAAAAACGCAATGCCTTTGCAATCCAGTACTTTTGGCTGCAATTCAACTATGAGGAGTGGCTAATTTCTTCATCTAGTCAGAGGTTAAATCGAAGCTTTGGTTCGACAAAACTGTGAGATCGAATTGATTTATCTACGTTCTTTAATTTGCAAGTATTTATATATTTCCTGTTCACTTATGCATATGATTATTTCTTGCAATTAAATACTTGATCACTGTTTAATTGTGTGAGTAATTAACAGCCATCTAAGAGTGCTCAATCCGTAATTGTTGGGTAATTTTAGTGCATGTGGCAAGTGATATGATTCAATTGTAGTAGAAACTTTTGAGTCGTTGTTGCGGAAATATATGATATAGCCTAAATAAACCGAGCGTGTGTGTTTGTTGGTTATAATTAGTGGCCAGTCTAATGATTAATGCTGTCAATAGGTTAAATCCTAAGAGCGTGTTTAGGACTGCTTAATTGGCTAGGGCAATAACTACAGAGCTTGTTGTGGTTATCGAATCAGGAAGGTTAGGCAGGTTGTCAGAGCTTGTTGACAACCATAACCAGTTTATTTGTAAATGAAAGATTTTATCTCTGCATCTGTGATCAGTGATTCGAACCATAAGTGGAGATTATACCTTTGACTAGAGATTTTCCTTCCGTCAATTTACTTTATATTTTTAATTTGAGCAATTAAATTAGACAGTTCCATATCAACTCCCCCCATTTTTATTTAATGTTACATTCATTCAAAATAAATTCCCAAGTCCCTGTGGATTCGACCCTGCTCGCTGCTATATTCGAATTTTGTCTTTCACGTAATTAATATACTTTGGTATATCGGATCAAGCAAACTCTGGCACCAGGGTGAAGCTAGTAACCCATTGCACAGCCTAAGTCCCTGCTCCAGTACCATAGTGGACTTAATTCGTGACTTAAGAGTAGGAATTTTATTTTTGTTGGTTTGACACCCAACAGTGGGAGATACAGAATGACGAAAAGAAGACAACATTGGCAGATTTTAAGGCTGGCATTTGCTATGTCGTTTCGTTTTACTCGCCTATCCTCTCACTGGCAAGTTCAGTTCAGTTCAGTGATGATACTCCGATTGCCGCTACTTCTTCCACAACCCCTATCTCCTCGCTACTCTTCCTCCTCCACCACCTGCTTAAGCCCCACTTCCACTTCCAAACCCTCATTTCCCAGAATGTCCTCAACTCCCACCACAGCCCCACCATCATCACAGCAGGTGACTCTGGATTAAAATTCCGGGACAAAATCCTCTACCTACAATCCCTCAAAATCAACCCCACAAAAGCCCTCCAGAAAAACCCAGATCTTCGTTCTGCCCTTCTCTCCTCTTTACAATCCATCGAGCATTGCCTTTCTTCCATGGGTATAGAACGCTCTGCCCTCGGCCGCATTCTTGACATGTTCCCCCAGCTCCTCACAGCTGACCCCAGCAATCAAATTTACCCCGTCTTTGAGTTCTTGTTGAACAATGTAGAAATCCCTTTTTCTGATATCCGCAAGTGTATAATCAGATGCCCCAGATTGTTAGTTAGTGGTGTTGAGAATCAGTTAAAACCCGCTTTTGAATTCCTGATGAAATTGGGTTTTGTTGGTGCCAATAGGATCACTTGCCGAACCACTGTTTTATTGGTATCCAATGTAGATCATACCTTAACCCCCAAAATTGATTTCTTGATGGGTTTGGGATTTGAGTATAATGAGGTGGCCAAGATGGTCATCAGGTCACCTGTGCTGTTGACATTTAGCATAGAGAATAATTTTAGGCCGAAATTGGAATATTTCTTGGAGGAAATGAACGGGGATTTGGAGGAGCTGAAGAGATTCCCGCAGTATTTTTCGTTTAATTTGGAGGGGAAGATAAAGAAAAGACACCGGATGTTGATGCAACACCGATTGTCAATGCCGTTATCGAGGATGTTGAAGGTTAGTGATGGGGAGTTCAATGCGAGGCTGATTGACATGAGGTTGCAGTTAGTAGAGGAAAGGCAGTTGTAGTAATTGCTCTAGCTTTTCAATTCTCTGTAGATGTAAATTTTTATGAACATAGCACAATGTCAAGTATATTTTTGTTCATTTTTGTTAAAAATGTAAATTTTAGTCTTCTGTATGTTCATTTACATGAAAAAGATAAGGCCTTTCTTTACTGTAAGACGAGTTTACAGTTATTTCAAATGCTTGATTTAACGATTTGATCCTTTTGAACCGTGCTTATTGTGTAATTTTATTGGTGTTTGGATATTATTTTGAGAGAATAGAGTGACTAAAACGATTTTGATTACTTAAAATAGAGATTCTGAGTACTATCGATGTCCATATGATACAGCTCGGATATATTCAGCCATGGTTTAGAGAGAGAGAGAGACAGTGAGAGAGGAGTGTGAGATGGAGATACTCAATTTTGTTCATGTTAACTATCCAGATATGACATCAATCATTTCAATTCAAGTTAGTCAAGTTTCAAATCTTACTTGAATCCTCATTTGTTCAATCCTAGAAAACAAGCATAATAAAATCAAAATTGTTTGTCTTGGTAAACAGTGGCATATTGGAGAAATGTGACTTTCTGTACTATTGGATCATCAATTCTAACACCAATTTCTTTTTACCTTGCCTTAATGGTGGTAATCAGTGGCTTGGAGACCTTTTTTTTTTTGGTGCAATGAGTGTAGCTTGGCAGCCATAAATTCAGAAGAATCCTGTTTTATTATAAGAGCGGAGCTTTAGTGATGGTATTACCGGCTCCTTAATGGTGCTAAGCATGTAACCAGTCTTCAGTGTTTACAGAGAACATGATAGAACAGAGCAATACTTGTGACAGTTATTTCTGCACATTGATGAAAACGGAAAAAATGATTATACTAGTTTGATTGAGGACTGTTCGTTGTGGGCCAAAATGAATGAAAGATAACTCTCTTTATATACAAAAATTTGCCTGCTTCTTGGACATTTTGCCATACCAGGGTGTGCATTCGCTTCCATCTTCTTTAATTTTGGTGACATTTGATGCAAGGAAACATGGATTCTCATTGAGAGAGAGGAATTAGGACTAAAGATGTATTCCAAATACGTCACTTAGTGTTGTGGGCATCTGCGGTGGTTGAAAGTGATTACCTAGCAATGACTATATAATGAACGAAAACATAAGATACTGACTACATCTTTTGAAGGCTCTATATTTAGTTCAAGTAAGCTTTTCACTTAGGTTTACCTCCCAGAATTTGGAAATTGAAATTATTGTGTCAGAAATTTCATGTTTCATTTGCATGCCCTCGGTGACACTCTGCATAAGACTGACTAATGAAATTACTGTTTCAAACTTCACTTCTTATTTCATTGTTGTTTTGATTTCTTCATATTTGTGGCCATACATCTAAAAACACATCACGGTTAAGACTGGTAGGTATGCATCAGATGTTCTAATGGTTGAGATTGGATCTTTGTTCTGATGTACGGCAATCTGATCCTTTGCAAATACCCATTGATCTTATTTTACTGATCACACAAAGTCTGTATTTCAGGAAACGGATACAAGATCATCGAATAGGTGACAGACCTTCTAATGAACTTGATGATTGCTACATAATGAATACCTTAGTTGTGGACGCCTTTCCTCATTGTCACTGGCGAAAGTATTCCGCTTGTGATAGAACCTATTTTTCTTTACATTCCCTGCTTGTCATGCAGCTGCTGATTTGTATAGAAACTGCAAAGCTATCTGA